ATTAGAATATAGTACATTAAATTATTAGGCTAGCCACTCAGAAGAAACAACAAAAGCAACAAAAAGATACTTTACATTCATAGATGTAAAATTCATAGATACAGTTAGAAAAGCATTATTTGATACTTTGCTAGCAGAGGGCTTTAGGGATGGTATGTCATAGCTTTGCAAAGAATTCATCTTCTTGGATCCGCTCTCTGTACATTGACATACCACTGTCTTAGAAAGAGTCATGAGTTTTATTTTGTACTTAAGGAATCTGAGATCAAGAGAAGACTTTCTTTAAACATAGCCTACCTAGAATATCCTTGATAATGTTGAAAACCTGATAAACACTAATCTTTTTTTTTTTTTTTTTGGTCGGTCATGGGGCTTGAACTCTGGGTCTGGGCATTGTCCCTCAGCTCTTCAGCTCAAGGCGAGCACTCTACCACTTGAGCCACAGTGCCACTTCCAGCTTTTTCTGCTTATGTGGTGCTGAGGAATCGAACCCAGGGCCTCATGCATGCAAGGCAAGCACTCTACCACTGAGCCACCTTCCCAGCCCATGAAAAACACTAATCTTAACAAAAGTGTCACAGGATGAAATTTTTAAGCAAAGATCTCTTCTGTTTTGTTTCATTTTATCCCCTGTGCATAGATGCTGTCCAGGACATAGATGTTGGGGAAGTACTTACTAAGTGAATTCCCTTGCTCAGTCATCTTTTGCCTATTGTCTATTCCTAGACCTGAAAGTTTACAACTTACTCTGTTGTGTTTTAAAGCAGTTTAGAGGAGTAAAGCTAACAATAAAAACATTTCATCCATCACATCCATTTCTTAACTAATCCTTATTTTGAAATGCAAACCAGCAGTAATGATATTGGCACTTTTACAGAATCTATCACAGATGATGTACAAAACAAACACTGTACTAAATGATTGGTACCTGATACCTGAATGTAGGCATAGAGGTGGGGGACAGCATGAAGTGTCATTAATTATATAAGACTTGAATGACTCATTTTCTTCAAGTTCTTGTTCAGCAAAAATTTTGAGGTTTCTTGTCTATTTTTATTTTTCTTATAAAATGTGTTGCAGACGCCAGAACAATGTCAGCACAACCAAAGGTCCTGGGCAGTTTTTCACTTAGCAAAATTCTTTCTGGTGTTATGATGTGTGTTTTCTGTCAGCTAGAATTTACAGGAATAGTGAACCACAAGGATTTCCTGGGGAGGAGATCCCACATGCTGCCTCTCAGCTTTCTCCTATTTCTTTTGGCGGCAATAACATTTTCTGATACTTCACAACTACATTTTGAGTTCAGTGCTTAGTGAAACATGTGTGCTTTGATTTTGCTTAAACCAAGAAAAAAAGTTATAATAACGAAAAATACCTAGCCCTCCACTACTTTGCCTTACTCTCCTTTCTGATGTTATCATCAACTTCTAATATGAAAAGCAAACTACAGCAAGAGTCAGGAAACTAAAGCTGTTGCTCCGGGCTCTCCTCAGCCCTATTTATCGCTGATGAGCAAACAACAGTTTTTACAGTTTTAAAAGGTTGGATAAATGTGAAAATAGTGATATCTACCTTGAAAATTATATGAAGCTCAAATTTCTTTGTGTATAAAAGTTTGGGGAGACTGACCACACTCATGTTTATATTTTTATTGACTGACTTTTCACACTGCAGCAGTAGGCTAGCATGTTGCAGGAGAGATCAGGTGGCCTGCAAAGCCTAAATAAAGTGTTCCTTCTGCGACTTTCTACACAAAAGTTGGCTGATACTGACTGTTGAGTAATTCCACTTTGATCTGTCTGTTTATTATTCTTCCTCATGGGAGTTCGTTTGAAGAAAGGATTTTACTGCCTTAAAAAACAAGTGTTTTAAAAAGTAAGCTTTTCAAAAGGTCAGTCCAGACAAATGAACTAGTATTTTTGTTCTTTTGCCAGGGAGACATGTTGCAACCCACTGCGGGCTCCTTAATCCAATCCGCCGCCACTGGGAGCAACACAATAATGGGGACTGGGCTCTTGAACTGAGCTTCAGGGGACCAGGGGGCCTGTAGGCTTTGGTCGGCAACAGATCCCAAGGTTCCATTAACCACGGTTTTTATTGGTCTTGTGCAAGGAAGTAAGGTGTAAACTTTAAATTGTGACAATCTCTTGTATACAAGGGGTAGGTGATCTTATTCAAGGAAGGAGGGCAAACTGTAAACATTACAATTTGCATAAACCTAAGTCTACCCTCAGGCTTCCACACAATTTAGGGTACAATCTTAGTTCCCATTAAGCCAGGACTGATAGACCTCTCTAGGAAAACTCAGCGTTTGGAGAGTGTATTGGGAGAAGGCATTCCAAACTCCCAATCCTTTTGGGGTCTCACAGTTTGGATTGTTGGGCTCTCACAGAGATAGAGCAGGGTGGGGTTCACAGTTCAACCATAAAGTACAGGCAGAGTAATTCAAGGCACTCTTTGAACATACATTATAGGTGACTGTGGTATGGACATGTAATCCCAGCACAAGGATGCTGAAGCAGTAGGATCAGGAGTTCGAGGCCAGCCTAGGGTAGATAGTGATACCCTGTCTCCATCCTTGCCTTAAATTTTTGTTTTTAAATCTCACAGAAGGTAAGCAGTACATTAATACTTTTTAATTTTTTTCTTTAAAGAGAATTTAATAGGAAGGTATTTGCCTTGTATTCCTGTGCTTACAAATTGATGCCAAGCACTCTAGCATAGTCCTACCCTTCCTAACTCAAGGTTGGATTTTCTAAATACCTAGGTCAAGTTTTGGTACCTCCCCACATTTCCCACAGCATCCAGAATAGTCCTAAAGTTACTAATTTGCTTGGCTAAGGTTCTGTTTTTCTCACTAGACAAATGAAGGACTGTTCCTTTTGTTTAGTTTATTGTACTATTTCACAGTGCTGACTTTAGTTAGAGTCACTCGTATCTCCCAACCTGGGTGAGTCTGGGTTCTCATCCGTGAAATGAGAATAGCAGTAACAATAGTAATGTTAAGAACACCCTTTGAGTTCATTGTGAACCTTCATTGAGATGATGCAAGTTAGATACTTTACATTTTTCCACAAAATACTTTGTATAAAGTTGTCAGTATCAAAATACAGTCACTTTTGTCAACCACTAACAAAATAGAGCCCGAAAGACCATGAAGGAGGCTGCTCACTCCTGTATGCCAGTAACAAGGACTGCTGAAAGATTTTCTCATACCAGCCTTCCCACTTTTATTAAGACTCTGCTAGCAATAGCCAGTACCATCAATGAACAAAGTTTACCTCCTGCAGTCAGCTTCTATGATCATTATTAGATTTTGTTTTAAAATCGTACATAAACTTTTCCTTTTTGTCCTTAAAATATATTCCCCTGCCCTAGACCTCTGGGGGTACACTTGGTCCACTGTGACATGTGAACATCCAGACTGCAATCCTTTACTATTCCTGAATGAACTCTACAGAATTTTGGACAATTTCTTTGCTGTGAGACTTAGGTTGTCAGCTCTGTGTTGCTGGTTTTGTTGCTTTATCTAAAATACCTACCCTACAGCCTAAAGAGTGAGAGTTTTTTTGTTTTTTTGTTTTTGCAGGGGGCGGGAAGGGGAGTATTGTGGGGCTTGAACTCTGGGCGGTCCCTAAGCTCTTCAGCTCAAGGCAAATGCTCTACCACTTGACCACAGCACCACTTCCTGTTTTCTGGTGGTTAATTGGAGATCAGTCTCACCGACGTTTCTACCTAGGCTGGCTTTGAACTATGATCCTCAGATCTCAGCCTCCTGAGTAGCTAGGATTACAGGCATGAGCCACCAGCACTTGGCTCAGAGGTTTTTTGTTGTTTTTTTTTAATGGAGTCAGTGCTACCAAATTTATACTTTACAAAACGTTGAAAGTAAAAATTAATTCTTGCTATTCATCCAATATGAGTTTCCCAGTAGATTTTCATATAGCACTAATACTATGTTTCTGTATGATTGGATTGGGTGATTTTTTTTTCTTCCCTGTTCTCAAACCTGAGCTCTTTCCACATAGCTTATGCGAAGTTGCAGGTAAAATTCAGTGCTTACTATATTCAGGGACTTGACGTTACTTTATTTCTTAAAAGAATCCTATGAGCTAAGTGTTACTATTGTCTCTTTTGTCTCTATTTTCAGTGGAGGTAGCTGAAGCACCTAGTGATTGTAACTAACAGTAGGCCACTTAGCTAATAAAAGCAGAGTTGGAATTTGAACCTCTACTTTGCATCTGTAGTGTGGTTTCCAGTGAGGGAGGGAGGGAGGGAGGGAGGGAGGGAGGGAGGGAGTGTGTGTGTGTGTGTGTGTGTGTGTGTGTGTGTGTGTATATGTGTGTGCATACCCAGCTCAAAGTGTGTGTGTGTGTGTGTGTGTGTGTGTGTGTGTGTGTGCATACCCAGCTCAAAGTTCATGTTGTTAACCAATGTATTCTAATGCTTTTATTAGCCATATGTTCCCTTACTTGCCATGTTTTCGTATGTAAAGTTTACCATATATAAGGCAACATTCTTGAAGTTTTATTTGTTTTGCCAACCCTATAAGACTAAATGAACTAATGAATATATGATATAATAAAAATACAATGTAATACAATTATTGCTTCATTTTTCTTGGGCTTCAAGTTCTAACTTTTTTCCTTGTAAGTCCTCTTAGGTGCTCTCTATAGCCAGCATTGACTGTTTTGAAGCTGTCTACTTGAATACTACAAAACTTTGAGCAAAGAAATTATTTAAATCTATTTATAGTCCTAAACTAATTTTGCTCACTAGTACTCACTCAAAAATTATGTGACTTCTTTAATTTAGAGTTTTTCCTTTTGGGGATTCCTCTTTTAATGTTGCTTTTTTGGCATAAAATGGCATCTTTTTGTAACAGATCATTCAGTTGGCAAAGAAGAAAGTAAAGAATTTGGACCTGTTAGTCATGACTATGAGGTAGGGTAATGAATTTGGCCTCTAAAACTTTTTGCTTCATTTTCTATCTTTTTCAGAACTCTCCACTTTACCAGTATTTACAGGATTTAGGACACACAGATTTTGAAATATGTTCTTCTTTGTCACCGAAACCAGAAAAATGTACAACAGAAGGACAACAAAAGCCTCCTACGGAAGTCCCACCAAAAGTAAGAAAGCATGTGTGTGTCCAAAGCTTCATCTTTTGTTCTTTACCTCACCATTTAAACTTTTACCTCTCCCCTGAGGAAAACAAGACTCTAAACAAAAACAGTCTCTAATATTTCCAAATCAGCACTAATAAGACTGTCTTTTTGTTATCAGTAATACAAAACTATTTAGATAAACATCAGTGTTTATGCTGGTCTATAGTTTTTTTGTGGATAATATATAAAGTGAGCAAATAAACTGTGGTTGGGGATTAAAATACGTTACTTCTTTTTTTTTTTTTTTTTTTGGTCTGGTCGTGGGGCCTGAACTCTGGGCCTGGGCACTGTCCCTCAGCTCTTCAGCTCAAGGCTAGTCCTCTACCACTTGAGCCACAGAGCCACTTCCGGTTTTTTCTTTTTGGCTTATGTGGTGCTGAGGAATCGAACCCAGGGCCTCAGGCATGCAAGGCAAGCGCTCTACCACTGAGCCACCTTCCCAGCCCACTTCTTTTTTTTTTGTCATGGGCTTGAATTACTTCTTTTAAACATTAAAATTACATAGAGAAGAACAGTAAAATTGATACTAAAGCCTTAATTATAACTCAGTTGATAATAGCTTTCAATTAATTAGAATGTTCTTTAAGTTTTTTTTTAATGTGAGCACAAATTATAAGAAAAAAGAATGACAAGTTCTTAAACACAGTTTGAAAGGCAAATGATGGAGTAGGTATATTTACCTTAACTTATAATGCTCTATATCTATAGTTTTGTAATCTTTTATTCAGTAAATATGTTATAGTTAATTTATAACATGTATTTTGTATATCCTTCTGGAAGAATCTCCATTAATTATGTTTGTAAAATGCATCTGCAAGCTGCGTGCTGGTGGCTTACATCCATAATCCTAGCTGAGTACTCAGGAGGCTGAGATCTTAGGATCACAGTTTAAAGCCAACCCAGGCAGGAAAGTCCGTGCGACTCTTTATCTCCAATTAAGGGCAGAAAAAGCTGGAAGTGGTGCTATGTCTTAAGTGCTAGAATGCTAGTCTTCAGCAAAAGGAGCTCAGGGACAGAGCCTAGGCCCAGAGTCCAAGGCCCAGGGCCAGCAAAAAAAAAAAAAGCCTCTGCTAGATTCACTTATCTTCTGTTAGCCATACTTACTAAAATAAGAAGACATTCTAATACATTTATTCAAAGGAATTATAATTCAGTAGAAAAAATTAACCAGATTGCCTCAGTTACTCCTGAGAGGAGACATTTAAAGTTTCCAACTATTCACTAATTCCATTGTGTCTAGAAGAGAAAGCATAGACTGTTAGGAAGTTCTTTTTTCCTGGTCTTATAAGCAGTGTTTCTAAAATGTGAGCTGACCAAGCTGACTTCTTTGCAAAAGCAAAGTATACACCTCCATCTACAAGGGGGGAATTTAGGAAGTTTCTGCTCATGTGGATCATAGTCATCTTTGCTAATCTTTCATATTTACTCTTTTCTTCCTCTTGCCCTTTTCAAGAATAAATGCTCTTGGAAGGGCTTAGAAAGCAAAACATCAAGATGTATCTAACAGGCTATTTATAGACTAAAATGTGGATGTGAGATTACTTGCCAATGTAAAACCAGACAGTGGCTAAAGATGAGTCTCTAGGCAGAGATGGGCACTGGCCTGTAGTTTGGGTAGGGTATAAACTTGGGGTTTGTAAATAGCTAATCTTTGTCATTTATGACAAATATTTTTATTTATAGAAATATTGTTGCTAGTTTATAAATAACCAAACAAGAGCTTAAAATGGCATCTCCTCCCAAATTGAGGAACAATAAAAACCATTGCCAGAGGGTGTTTTTAAAAATTATCATGTGTCTCGAAAGTTCATTTAGTCTTCATTTTGCTCCAAGACATTTGCTCCACGACAACTCTTTAGCTGTGTAAGCTGAATTTCCTAACATGGATTTTTTTTCCCCCTAAATCTGAGGGCAACTATAATTTAGAACAATTTATTGAATTTTTTCAGTTCATTCTCAAGGAATGTATTTTTAGGATGTATTTTTAGACTATTTTTGAATACATTGCTCCCAAAATTCTATTCAAGGAATGAAGAATTCTTCTTTGTGAAACCGTTTTTTTAATAATATGTGATCCTGATAAAGCACTCAGTAGTATTAACTTCCTTCTCTTTCTGCATTCTTTTATGTGGTAAATATTTAGTGAGTAGTCTGTCTGACTGTCCCTATTATAAGTATTCATCCCCTGTTCTTTTTTCTGCTTACTTTTCCTATGATTATCTTACATTTTCCTCTCATTAGGTTTTAGCAGCCTCATCAGCTTTGTTGTCTTCATTGGCTTTGCTGATGCTTACTAGACATTTTCACCTGCAGGTGCCCTAAGAAGCTTAGATTCAGCATTTCCACAACAGGACTTCTTTCCACAGTACCCCAAAGCAAGCATACCAAAAGCACATTCTTTTGACACTCTCTCAGTTACCTTAATGCATTGCTTTTGTCACTACGCGCTTTGTCAAATCTGTTTCTATGTCTCTTAAATCTGACTCAATTCATTACTATTGTTAATATTACCTAGACTGGGTCTTTATTGATGTAGACATGTAATGTACTCCTAATCATGCACAGTCGTTCCCTTCCAGTTCAGCTTCCAGACCATTGCCAGTTAACTTTCTCACATGCTGATTTTTAGCTTTTTATGTCTTTGCAGAAAAAAATTTGGTGGCACCTTATGACCTCTAAAATATTGTATTACAGCATAGAAGACCAAGATTCTTTAAATCTATCTCTAGTTGGAAGAGAATATATCTGTTAAAACCTAACCCTAGCTGGGTGCTAGGCCCTTCACACCTATAATCCTAGTTAATCAGGAGACTGAGATCTGAGCATCATTGTTTGAAGCCAGCCCAGAAAAGAAAGACCATGAGATTCTTACCTCTAATTAACCACCAAAAAAACCAAGATGGAGTTGTGGCTCAAGTGGTAGACCACTAGTCTTGAACACAAAAGCTCAGGGACAGTGCCCAGGGCCTGAGTTTAAGTCCCAGGATTAACAGGAGCATGCACACACACATGCGTATACACACACACACACACACACTCATGACCCTAGTAGGGATAGGCATGTTTATTTACAACCTGCCCCTAGTTGAAAAGGCATGTATCTGTTAGTACAATCAATTTGGTCTTGGGGAACTGATAAGTCACAAAATTTCCCAGGACTTGAAATAGCCAGTGTTGAGTATCTTTGTAATTCCCGTAAGGTTTTCTTTCTTTCTTTTTTTGTCCTAATCTCTGCTATAGTGTATAATAATTCTTGGCCAATGACTCCAAAACAATACAAAAATCTATGTCATACAGCTAAAATATTCAAGTTGTGGAGTTCAGGTCTCTGAGAAGGAATGCTCAAGTTATAAGTAAGAAGTTAATGTTTTTGCCTTTTGTGCCACAGTTTAACCCAGGGCCTCTCACATGCTAAGCATACTCCACCACTAGGTTGCACCCCAGCACTATTTTTTTTCATTAACCACATAAAAATTGAATGCATTTATGGGGTCAGTGGACCTTTTTAACCACATTACTAATCCCTTCTTCCTTTGGCTCATCATTGTCTCAGACTACACTACCATTCCCATGGCATGTGCTCCCCTGGCTTTCTCCTTCGCTCATGTCTTTACTCCTTTGTTAATTCCTGCTCATCTGTTGGGGCTTAGATCAGTGTTAGCTGTACCCAACATTCTTTTCTCCCATACTTTTCTAGACATTTTATTGACATGTAATTATTTTTACTACCTTGTCTTATATAGTAAGTTCTTTTAAATATGGCACTTATGTGTCTACCTTTTTTCCCATGGCCATTTGCAGTTCGTGGTATATAGTAGTTACTCAGTTACTATAAACTGCATATACTAGCATGCTCAGAGAATGGGCTGTTGAGGCAAACTGAATGTTTGGTTGATTTGATAACCAAACTTTTACTTCAATAAGTGACTGTTTTCCTCGAATGTCTTAAGAGTATCTTTCTGCCTTAGTATTCTAGAATAAAAATGTTTTAATATTTGATAACTTGGGATTACCTTATGGTAATCTGAAATAAATACTGTTATCCTTGATATGTCTGTGTCATACACAATACATTTATGGGTACACATACGTATCATAGAATGTAATAGGATATATCAGGATTACTTCTGACTTTTGCTTAAGAACCAGACTTCTAGATCCTATTCCACATGTATTGAATTAGACCAACTTAGGGGCCCACAGATGAATTTCTATTGAAAATCACCAGATGGTTCTGTTATACTAATAAGATTGGGCACTAATGAGACAGAAACATATTGACAAAGTATATAGTCTGAATTTCTTCCCACCCCCTCATAAAAATTGTGATTAATTGCAGGTAAGTTTTTTGAAGATTTTTTTTTTTTTTTGCCTTTTGGGAGTGTTTAATAGTCATGGTGTTTTTTTTAATCTCTTTTAGCAAGGCATACTGGTAAAATTGGCAGGATCCATCAAAAGTTGTATTTTTTTCCCACACTGCAGTAAAGAGGATGCGGTACTTCACAAGTTGGTGAGTGTTGACTTCTTACTAGAAATTCTGAAATAATTACTGAGGACTTTTTAATTTGGACTTATTGTTATTATTCATGACTCTTAGCAAGTTAGAATGGAACATTCTTTTTTGTTTGTGTGCCAGTATTGGAGCTTGAACTCGGGGCCTCAAGGTTTCAACTCAACTTCTCACTGAAATCTGCTACTCTCCACTTGAGAAACAACTCCACTTTTGGCTTTTTGCTGTTTAATTAGAGATAAGAATCTCTGATTTTACAACTACTTAAAGATAATTTTAAAATAGAAAAGAATTTCTGATTTTTCTGTCCAGGCTAGCTCCAAATCTCATCCTCTGATTTCAGCTTCTTGAGTAGCTAGAATTATAAGCATGAACTACCAGTGCTCAGCTAGAATGGCATATTCTTGTGGTTACTGAAACCTTCTTTATTAGACTACAAATTTCCTCCATTGACAAGGAAATATATCAGTTAGTGCAATCATTTCCTTCTGGGCAGACTAATAGGTCATAAAATTTTCCACAGACTTAAAATAGTTAGCATTCAGGGTCTTTGTGATTCCTGTTTGGCTTTCCTCCCCTTTCCTTTACTTCCCTTTGTTTTTGTTTCCCTTCTTCCCCTTTCCCTTTTCTTCCTATTCCCCTTTCTTCTTTCCATCCTTGTCCCTCCCTCCCTCCCTTCTTCCCTCCCTACCTCTCTACCTCCCTTCCTTTTATCCTTCCTTCCTTCCTTCCTTCCTTCCTTCCTTCCTTCCTTCCTTCCTTCCTTCCTTCCTTCCTTCCTTCCTTTCTTCCTTCCTTCTTCCCCTATTCTCTCCTATTCGCTGTTGTACTATATATTTTTTTGACCTATGACTCCGAAAAGACACTTATGTGCCTTCAATGTCAAGTATGGTACCTGGCTTATAGAAGATAATCCTTGGTGGATAGAGGGGAGAGAGAGGCATAAATGAGCTAGTGTATGTGAAAGCATTTTATAAACTATAAAATGATAGTGTAGTTTTACATACCTTACATTTACCATCTTAATGATGTATTTAAAGGTATTTGAGTTGGGTTGGAGCCATGGCTTAGTTGGTGGAGCGCTAGCCAATGAGTGAAAGCAGCAGATAACAAGTTCAAGTTCCAGTCCCAGACCTAAAAAAAAAAAAAAAAAAAAGCCGAATTGCCATTTTTAGAATATTTTGATCCTACTGATGTTGTCTATATTGCATGCCTGAGGCCCTGGGTTCGATTCCTCAGCACCACATAAGCAAAAAGAAAAAAGCCGGAAGTGGTGCTGTGGCTCAAGTGGTAGAGTGCTAGCCTTGAGCTGAAGAGCTGAGGGACAGCACCCAGGCCCAGAGTTCAGGCCCCACGACCGGACCCAAAAAAAAAATATATATATATATATATTCTATATTTGCCATCTTAATGATATCCAATTCATTCTCTCTCTCTCTCTCTCTCTCTCTCTCTCTCTCTCTTTTGGCAGTCCTGGGGTTCAAACTGAGGGTCTGGGCTCTGTCCCTGAGCCTCTCTGCTCAAGGCTAGCGCTCTACCACTTGAGCCACAGCACCACTTCTGGCCTTTTCTGTTTATGTGGTACTGAGGAATTGAACCCAGGACTTCATGCATACTAGGCAAGCACTCTACCACTAAACCACATTCCCAGCCCCTCTATTCCATTCTTTATTTCACATTTACTGTGAAAATAAAACTCCCATTTATCACTCTAAAGGTAAATTGTACTGTTGTTTCTTCTTATAGTCTATACTGAAAATAAACACCTGTAAATGTTATGATAGAAGCTTAGCATTTAGACTATTGTGTAGCTAATACCTCTCTTTGTGTATTTTAATGGCAAGGATACTGGATTCCGACTTGACTCATTGCATGCCATCCTGCAACAGGAAGTCCTGTTACAAGAGGATGTGGAGCTAATTGAGCTACTTGATCCCAGTATCCTGTCTGCAGGGCAACCTCAACAACAGGAAAATGGACACCTTCCAACACTCTGCTCCCTGGCAACCCCTAATATTTGGTACTGTCCAGAAAACATGCTTTGGCTACTTTACATATAGAGTACTTTCAGAGGAAATCTATCATCATGCTCTTTATTGTAATGATATCATAAACATTCCATATAATTAGCATTGTAATAAAGTAGTGAAATGCCAGAGATTAAGTGGGGAAAAAAATTGCCTCTTCAAAGTAAACTCTATTTAAGATGAAACTGGAAAAAATCCAATTTGATTATTTTATACTTCCAACTTAGTAAATTAGCTCTGAATTTTGCAACCCAACAAATGGATAGAAATGTGCCATATGAAATCTCTTACAACACCTATGCACATATGAATATTGGCCATTTCTTCATATTTTATGTCTTAACCACATTATACAGACAACAAGGATAGGTTGGGACATGGAGATAAGCAGTTAGTTATTGCTAGTTGGCTGGGAAGTGAATATAATTGATGATTGAAACTACCCTAATATTAAGAAGGTCCAGTCCAGAGAATCATTGAAGTCCAGGATTAACTCCAGTTAATTACTCTTCCATGGTTTCTTTTTTTTTTTTTTTTTGAGGTCCGGTCGTGGGGCCTGAACTCTGCGCCTGGGCGCTGTCCCTCAGCTCTTCAGCTCAAGGCTAGTGCTCTACCACTTGAGCCACAGTGCCACTTCCGGCTTTTTTTCTTTTTGCTTTTGTGGTGCTGAGGAATCAAACCCAGGGCCTCATGCATACAAGGCAAGCGCTCTACCACTGAGCCACCTTCCCAACCCTTCCGTGCTTTCTTGTTTCCTCTATTCCTAGGGATGTCTGAATGCTATTTGCCTTCATTAGTATTTTCATTATTCTTCCTACTAGTGGATGGTCTCTATTTGGATGAGATGGGAAATGGTTCTGTATGTTTATTTGGTCATACAAGCTTTGAAATCCATTTTGATTTGCTATCCTTCTGACAGGCAACTTTCTTGTGTTGGACTATAACTCCAAGAATTGTTGATGCTGTTTTTCAGATATCCTTGGATACATTGTCTGACATTTCCTTCTTTCTTACATGTCTTACACAATTCCACTGAAATTTTCATTTCTTAAAAGAAGCATTTTCGTCAATTAGAATTGTAATTGATATGAACAACATATCATGTTGTTATTTCAGTTAATTGTTACTTGCAGTACAAATGTGCAATGTTTATCCACATTATGGACTATGGCAAATATGGTGTTTTTCACATTTATAACAATTTTTAAATTAGATGATTTAATTCACAATAACTACTCATCAATTATTAGTTGTTTCTAAGTGAAAAACATTTACTTGATGGAATATGTGTTTGTGCAAATATATGATTTTAGGAATGAGGAAGTCACACTATCTAAAATCATATTTTTACTTTTAAATTTGTAAAATTAGAATTTTAAATCTATAATTTGTTTTTTAGATTAACTCCATCCTTTAAAAAAACATTGTTTCAGATGGTAGCTATCTCTAATATTTAATTGCTGTATATTTTAAAACTATTTCACAATACCTTATTAAATATTTTTGTCATGCTGCACCAGGAAGCTAGTATTTTATCTATTTTAGTAAACCCAAATTAACTATTGGTTTTACTAATCAAAACAGCTAATCTTTCCTCTCTTGTTTGATAACGATCGTTTTCTTGTTTTCTCTTTTTCCTAGGGATGTCTCAGTGCTATTTATCTTCATTAGTTTGCTTATTATGCTTCCCACTTGGTGGATTGTCTCTTCCTGGATGATATGGGGAGTGGTTCTATTTGTTTATTTGGTTATAAGAGCTTTGAAATTATGGAGAACAGCCAAACTGCAAGTGACCCTAAAAAAATATGCTGTTCGTCTAGAAGATATGGCAGCAAATAGCCGTGCGTTTACTAACCTTGTGAGGAAAGCTTTACGTCTCATTCAAGAAACTGAAGTCATTTCCAGAGGCTTTACACTGTGAGTTCATTTTTTATTTTTTGTAAATGCTTCCTCTCTGCCACATAATTTAAGGAAATGATTTATTACCCATTTTCATTTTTGAGTGTTGCATTTTTAAGATAAAAGGAGTCATCCTTTGGCATTTATTACTGCCAACTAAAGGGATAAAGACATAGTTGTAATATATAATATAATCTACTTTGACAAATCAAAGTATTTTGAAAATCATGATTATTTTCTATAAATAAGAAATAGAGATTTCCTGGCACTGAATTTAGCATGCAGTAGGTGCTCAATAAACGTTTATTCCTTTTACCCCCTGTCAAATATCCTTTTCCCAGTTTAAGTGGTCGATATGTCTGCCATGAATTCATTTTGAAAGGTCTCAGTATGTATTAATAATACTCTTTAGGAAACACAATCAAGTGTTATAGCATTGGTATTTTCAGAATATCATGCAAATGATGATGTTTTATATTCCCGCTATATACTCAACCAGTCTAGCTGTGTTTAAACTGCAAATCAACTTTTACTGAAAGGAAAGTTACATTTATAGAACTATGTTCCATAGATTATGCTAGTCACTTCTTCATACATCTAAAGATATATAATTGTATAGAGCAAACAATCAAATCCATTCCTATCTGACTTAAAAGCGTGTTTCCTACTAGCTGTTTCCACTAGGTTGCTGGCTAACTGCTCACAAATGGCAGTTGGACTACAGTGCATTTAATAACCATTGCAGTCTATAGGTGGGGGAAAGTAAGTATGTGGTGGATTTGATCATTGCTTTTAATTAGCTGTAACTGAAAAACTAATGAAAATCAATTTTGAAAACACTGGTAGTCTTTGCATCCCTCATTCTGCTCTGCTCTAGAATAGTACTCCTCTTGACATAAAGGCTGTGTCTGGGAAATTATGAAACAGGGGAGGAGAAGAATCTTCAGTAATCCTCACATTCTGCATTCTGTTTTGTTCTGCACAACAATCCTGAGTGTGTAGATGAGACAAAGATTTCATACCTCAGCTCATTTCAAAATAAAACAATACTCAGTGTTCTCTGATAGTCTGATGTTAGTCTTCCATTAAACTCAGTCCATTTGTTCTTAATTTGTGTATTAAGGTTTGAACTCAGGGCTTTGTGCTTGACAAACAAGTAGCCTAAAACTTGTGCTGTGCCCCCAGCCCTAAGTTCACTTCTTGTTGGGAAAGAAAATCAAATTTTCTAATTCAGAAAGTTAAAAAGCATCCTTAAAGTGAATAATCTCTCATTTTTATTCTTGACTCATACAGCATTTAATTGAGAGCCATATATCCAATTAATGCTTAGGCATGTATAGAGGAGCCTATGACTTTTGTCATTTCCAACTTTTACCTGGATATACAGAATTGACATGAAAAGGTAAAGTAGGCCAGGTGCCTATTCTCAGTTATGATAGCAGATAGGCAAATAAAATATTGGAAGAGATAATGTTTCATTTGTCTCCATTTATCAGGACAATGGATTGGAGAAATTATAAGGAATAATAAATTCAGAATCATAATATTTAGAAATATTTTCAGTTTATAAAATATAGTAGATTAGTAGAAGCAGCAGGGCCATGTATTGTCATGAGTGCTGTTTTGTTTTTTAATCTCAATTTGTTGTCTAGCCAATAACCCTTTTTTGTCTTTAATCCCTTATTCTAAAATAATGCCGGTTAGTCATCATGCCTGTTTTAATTTGGTTTACCATTTTTTAAGTTTTGAATTAGTTGTCTTTTTTTAGAGATTGATGATTATAGTATAGGAAATTTATAAAAGCTGATATTTGGTTTTGCTATTAGGAAAAGTTACTGATTAGGTTTAAAAAAAAAAAAACTACTATCCAGTAACTGTAATATTTAATCCTGCCTTTTTTCCGTTGTAATACAACGCATTGTAACAATTACATACCATTTATCTTAAGGAAAGTGCCATGAACTATGCTCCTCTTAAAGAGCTTTGAGAGTAGCTATCCTACCACACAGTAACCCTTACTTTGCCTTTCTACTTGCATTCCCCTGTTCGCCACTGGTCCTGTTATCTTTCTGCGTTCTCCTACTTCATTTTGAGTAGGTAAGTGCCAGTGGCTGCAGGTGGGTAAGTAATGTTGCCCTACTTTTGTGAATGTACAGAATATATTTCTATACAGTGTTTGGTTGTTCTGTACAAGTGACCAAATATATGATTAATAAACATATTTAATATATATTAAGCATGTGAAAGTATTGATAAGCCCTTCTTACATCCTAATGCATATAAGTTTTGAAAACTGAACGTAGTAAAGTAGCCCCACTTTAGTGTAAGCAGGCAGCATATCTTTTTCCAGAAAAGATACAAATTCTTATGTAAATATTCCTACATTTCTGTTCTATCTGAACTAAAATTCATTGTTGATCCAAATCAGAGAAAACCTTTTTGTCATTTTGATTTTTATTTGTCTTTTTTTTTCTATCGACTATACATGTATCAAGGAAATGGCTATTTGTGACACTTGATTTGCAATACTTATAATCATTTTCTAGTAAAAAGTATGAGAAAGGTTTTTTTCTAAGTGTAATAGAATTGTGGATTTAGAAAACAAAAACTTTAGGACACCTGCATAGTTGTATCACATTTTACTTTTCAAGTTTGCTTGACAGGGTCAGTGCTGCTTGCTCATTTAATAAAGCTGGACAGCATCCCAGTCAGCATCTCATCGGTCTTCGGAAAGCTGTCTACAGAACTGTAAGAGCCAACTTCCAAGCAGCAAGGCTAGCTACCCTATATATGCTGAAAAAATATCCTTTTCTGTCTGTGCATGAGAATAAGAAGTACTTCTAAAGTCCTAAATACAAATTAGAGTTGCATCCTATAAAAGTTAACTAGAGATTGAGATTGCCTATTTGGAAGCTAATTCCATCATCACTTCTATTTTAAAACTGGAAATGAGTTCCAAGAGGAAAGATAATAACAGACAGGAAGAAAGTTTTACTCTTATGTGGCTCATTTTTTTAAACAAGGATAAACTGTAAAGTCCTTCCCTCTACTAGTCCAAAGAATAAAGTAATAAGAGCCTGCTTTGGTAGGTCTAAATTTTTAAAAATGAGTAAACATGGCAAATTTGTCATGATACAATAGTAAGTTGGTGACAGGAAATCGTTCCCCTTTTAGAAACAGACTCCAAAGCCAGGTTGCCTGAGTTTATATTTTGTCTATGTAAGTTACTGCCTAGATAACCTTAAGCAAGTTTCTTAAGTTCTTTGTCTTCATCCTTAAAGAGCAATGGTATCATAATTTTCTTCATTATATTTTTGCTAAGGTCAGGTGAGTTGTTGCATACAAACTTACTCATACAGGACCTAGTATATAGGAAGCACTCAAAGACTGCTTTACAGTAAGTCTGCACTTACATTTAGTTAGCCAGAGAGTAAAGGTGAATTAGATCCTTGTTTTACTAATCATTCATAGTTACCTTAAATTATGAGTTATACTCAGCAGCTTCAATATGCTGCATTCTACAACACTGATAATTAAAATGCTTAAAGTGCACAGAATGCTTTGTATTCTCTCATTATATTTTTACACAAACCTTCCTAGCCAGATTTTCTTATCTCTGAGAAAACAAAAATAAACGTTAACTAACTTGCTTAGTAGCACACATACTATTTTAAAATGTATAGACTATGAATTATGATTTATAAATATACATACATCTTCTGTGCAAGTTCTTTTGAAAATATGACTAACATTTTCACCAAGAACTTGCCCATTAATTTACCCTATTGCTTAAATGCCTGAATGAGATAGAGTAAAAAACATTTGTACCACTTTTAAAGACATTTGAGTCTGGTCTGTAGATAAGCCGGTATTCATAAGGCAGTACAAATGCTCAGGATGCCTTCCTCCATAGTTGGACATGTCCTTGGCTCATAGAATCAGGGAAGAGTTTTAGAGAGGTGAGCTCTAAGTTGCTGATATGAAGTTGAACCTCAAAAGAGAATTAGGAGTTGATCATGAGAAACGATACTGCATTCCAAGTAGAGAAAAGTATATGGAAAAAAAATAGAGGTTTGACAGTGGCATGTAAACTACAAGTTAGTCATCCAGTGAGTTTTTATTGAGACAAGTTCAATGCTAAGCACTATGCTAGTCACTAGCTGTGCCAAGGTCAATAATAATAGATATCATTCCAGCCTTGAGGGAATTTATAATTTACTGGAGGGGAAGGAAATGAGGAGCAGGTTCCCATGCCACTCACCATTCTAAATACTAAACACTTGTAGAGAACAAGATAAGATTCTTCTCAGGGACTTTACCTTCTGGTGGATGAGATGAAATCAATTTTTTTAAATGAACAGTTAGGAGTGAGTAGCTCAATAGTAGAGCACTTATCTATCATGCTCAGACCTTGATAATAATAAGCTCAGATCCTGAGTTTAATATTGCAAGAAAAGAAAAAAAAATGTTTAAGAAAAGTTTTAAGATTTTTTAGGTACACTAATGACTGTCAAGGAAAATATGCCCAAGGTATAGGACAGAGAGTGTTGTTGGTGCTGCATCTGTTGGAATGAGAGGGAAGACCTCTCTGAGGAGCTGACATTGAAACAGATTTGAACTGTGAGAAAGATCTAGGTGAAGAATGTTCATTTAGATGGGCCAGTAAGTATGCAGATCTTGTGGTAGGAATATATGTAGCCTGACTGAAGTATAGAAAAAAAGATAATCTTAATTAGAGTGGGTAGGTTGAGGGTTGAAATACGAAATGAGATTGAGATGTAGACCAGGGCTCGATAATACTCTTCTATACAATAAACTTTTACAAATTGAGTGAAAAAGGAGCCACCAACCATTTCTTTGAAAAGATCCCTAAGATACCTAAACTTTTATATGACTGATCAACAGAAATATACAAGATCAATAATGAGAACACAGCTAAAACCATTAATGTGAAAGACATTAAAGTAATTACAAGAAGATTGTGTATGTGATGTGACATTGTGGTAGCAACTTTTTAAATGTAGGAGACAATTGTTCATTTCTTACAAAAAAATGCAAATCTCTAAAACTGACATAAGAATTTGAAAATGTGAAGAGACTGGATGTGTGATTTTAAAATATTCAATTTTAGTCAGGCACTGGTGTTCCTGTCTGTAATCCTAACTACTTATGATGCTGCGATCTGAGGATCACGGTTTGAAGGCAGCCTGGACAGAAAAGTTCCTGTGAGACATCCCTCAAAAACCAGAAGTGGAACTGTGACTGAAAGTGGTAGAGCACTAGCCTTGAGCAACGAAGTTCACAGATAGTGCCCAGACCCTGAGTTCAAGCGCCGTGACCAACAACAACAAAATCTTTTTTTCAGAAGAGAACAGTAAAGGTTCTTGACACTCTACCATGACTCTCTCCAAGTTATATTAAGTATAAACCAAAACAACCAGCAAGGTGCCTGGAGCAATATATGTAGTAGATTGCCATTACATAAAAAGGACTGTGACTAGATCCATAGAGATAAATATGTTGTACAAGTGTGTGTCAGTGTGTGTATATTGATTATCATATGCTTCCAGGTACATATATCTATGTGGATTTGCTTTTTCATATATACATAGAGTATCTTGAAGGATGCAGAACCTCTGATAATTGGGATTGCTTTTGGCTTTGAATAGGGGAATTAGGTAACTAGGACTAGGGTAGAAGCCGTTTTCACTTTATCCTTCATGAATTTTGAATCCTGAGTGTATGACCAATTCAAAAACTAACTAAAAAATTAACTGTAAGATGCAGATATTTTTACGGTAAAGTTAAAAAAAATTTCATTCCATAGAGAAGGCAAAAAAGCTCCCCTACATTATTTTATTTGTGAAAGTAGTATATCATAATCTAAATATGATTTATTATAAGGACTAAAAATTATAGAATAACCTCACAGTTATAAAATCTTTAATGGAATATTTATAAATTTAATCTAGCAATGAATCAAAGGGTTTGACCAAATAGTCAAAAGCTAAAAGTTTAAGGATGGTTCCATCTCAAGAATAAATATAATTGTTTTGTTTCATTTCTTCACATTTTGTTTTTAATAAAAGTCAATTGAAAAAAATCCATATAACATTTACTATCCGTAAGAGTTTGTTTTTTTTTTGGTGGGAGGGGTCCAGTCGTGGGCCTGAACTGGGGGCCTGGGCGCTGTCCCTCAGCTCTTCAGCTCAAGGCTAGCACTCTACCATTTGAGCCACAGCGACACTTCCGGCTTATTTTTTTCTGCTTATGTGGTGCTGAGGAATCGAACCCAGGCCTCATGCATGCAAGGCAAGCGCTCTACCACTGAGCCACCTTCCCAGCCCCAGTAAGAGTTTTATTTTGAAATTTTCAGCACTTAGTAAATTTTTAACACTAAAATTTTTTTTGAAATTGTTTTGATACTGGCCAATTTAGTAAATTATTTACTGTAGTAGTGGCAAATGGGAAATTTTTAATTTTTTGTTTTCTCAGTTGTGGGGCTTGAACTCTGAGCCTGAGCGCTGTCCCTGAGCTTTTCAGCTCAAGGCAAGTACTCTACCACTTGAGCCACAGCGCCACTTCCAGTTTTCTGGTGGTTAATTGGAGATAAGAGTCTCACAGACTTTCCTGTCCCGGCTGGCTTTGAACCGTGATCCTCAGATCTCAGCCTCCTTAGTAGCTAGAATTAAGTGTTCCTCAGTTTTTAATTTCACACACAAAAAATAAAGTATTGGCATATATTAGTGATACAAGGGAGTTTCATTGTGATAATTCCAAATGTGCAAGCAGTGTACTTTCAACAAGTTCACACCCTCTATTATAGTTCCTTAACACCTCTTCCTTCTCCCCCCTCATCCTTAAACAATATTAGGTAGATTCTGTTATGTTAATCTCCTTTACCCCATACTACCTCCTGCCTCCCACTGATCTTCCCCCTCATCGTCTCTACTTTTCATTGATGTCCTATTCTTATTATTTTAGGTTTAGGTTCTACTTATTAAACATAGTTCTTTACAAAAAGAATTGAAGGACAAAAATAATTTTAAGGAAATAAGAACACTGTGTGTCAAACATCCTGCATCAGGCTAGTACTACATATGTCAGTAGTCTTTAATGTTCAGCTAGTTTGTGATGCCCTGCACTGTAGGGGCTGTGGGAGCAAAGAGAAGTGTTACTGTAGCATAGTGGTGACCTGAGCCACTATACAGTGAAGTACAAAATACAGCTTCAAAAGGTAGGTGTGAAAAATAACTTAGTTGGCATGTTAACACCTTTGAGGAGGTGAACTTTTCATTATGTAGACATAAAAATTTTATTCACAAGTAGCCTATGAGATGATATAGGCTGAGAATTATTAGTGCATTCGATCTCAAGATTAATTTCAGTTTAAAAACTGATACACTTCTCCAGTGAAAAGTTCAAAATAAAAATTAGTAAATGTAATTTGAGATAGTTTGTACCTTTTGTGCCTTAATGAAAAGATGTTGATTGCCTTAACCTAATTTAACCTACCCCCTGAACTCTGAGAGTGACAATGTTACCAACTACATCTGTGTGGTGCCTTTTAAGGAGCTGGGCCTTGGACTTAGTGAAGAGCAGATTTCAGAAGAGGAAGCACATAACCTTACAGATGGCTTCAGCCTACCTGCATTGAAGGTAACCCATTTGTAGAAAGGAAGGCCTAAGTAAAAAACAGCACCTGGATTGTACCTGTGCTTTCTGAAAATAAATGGTGCACCTGCTCCCTTTCACTGTTTTCATAAATGCCTTCGTGATGTTTGTTTCACTGTCTTTAAAGGATAAGAGAATCATGTAGATTAAATGGAGAGGTCTTTGTGTTTTGATACCAAACTCTTACATTCTTAATACAAGATGTCTTAAGGCTGAAGGTATGGCTCACTAGGTAGAGCACTTGCCTAGCAAGCAAAAGGCCTTGAGTTCAAGGGCCAGTACCGTTAAAAAAAGAAAAAAAGAAATGCCTTCAATTAGAGTATGAGAAAAGTAAATTTTAAAAATTTTTACTGATTGATGGTATTAGGGTTTGACTTCAGAGCCTTGTGCTTACTAAACAGTCATGTCCCCATTCCAAATAAGTGAATTACTTTAATAGGAAGCCAGTGTTTCAACAAACACGGATAAAGCCTTTAAAATCTACTTGTTCCTTTGGAACATTCCCAAATTCTTTATATTTTATATATATATATATATATATATATATATATATATATATATATAAAGAGATGTACCTATAATAAAAATCCCCATAATAGGATACAATTAACTATAAAAAATAAATTTCAAATGCTGGACTACCATAAATATGATTAGTAAAAATATTACAATGTTTTATAGCAAAAACTTGAATTCTAGGGCTTGAATTCAGGGCCTGGGCACTGTCCCTGAGCTTCTTTTGCTCAAGGCTAGCGCTCTGCCACTGAGCCACAGTGCCACTTTCGGCTGTTTTCTGTCTATGTGGTGCTGAGGAATTGAACCTAAGGTTTCCTGCATGCTAGGCAAGCATTCTACCACTAAGCCACATTCCCAGCCCTTGAATTCTTTTTATATAAAAGATATTCTTTACCTTTGAATGTACGGTGTCTAAAATTTATAGGGCTAAGGGTTTGGCTTACTCTGGTAGGTTACTTTGCTAGCATTCAAGAGGACCTGAATTATATCTCAGCCCTGGGGGATTACGGGTAGTGAAGACTAAAAAATAAATAAATAAAACTTAATAGAAAATAGATGTTGTACATGATTGGAGAAATATATTTTTATTTTGAAAATAATAAATTAACTATTTTGCCAAGGGTGTTGGAAATTGTTAATATTCATTAATCCAATGAAGATCTGGAGAATTCCTGCACTAGTGAATCCATCACTAAAGTCGTTCGCCTTAGCAATGGATTTATCTTTACCAACAATTTTACCCTTACAGATTTATCTCAGGAAATAATCAGACACGCACCTAAAGTGTATTTATGACATTACTATAGTATCAAATATTGGAAACAAATTATATATTCAGTAATGTAGATTTGGTAGAGATTTGTGGTACTTATAATTAAGGAACTGCTTTGGTGTCACTAGAAAAATACTGAAGAAAAATAATACTATGGGTCTGGCACTGGTGGCTCATGCCTATAATCCCAGATACTCCGGAGGCTTAGATCTGAGGCGTGTGGTTCAAAACCAGTCTGGGCAGGAAAGTCTGTGAGACTCCAATCTCTAGTTAACCATCAGAAAACCAGAAGTGGCACTGTGTCTCAAAGTGGTAGAGTGCCAGCTATGAGCAGAAAATCTCAGGGATGTACCCAGGCCCTGAGTTTAAGACCCATGACCAAAATAATAATAATAATATAATACCATGGGGAAATCTAAATTAAAGTAAGTTGTAAAAGTCATGTGCACACCTGTAATCCCAGCAGCTGGAAGTTGACAGGGGGATTGTAAGTTTAAGACTAGCGTGGGCTATATCATAAAACCATGTCTCAAAAAACTGACAAATATGTATGCAGTAAAAGTACATGAGCATTTTTATAGGCCAGCACAAAGGTATTAAATTCCTTTTTAAATATTTAGAAAACTTTAGGGTTTTTAAATATTTAAATTCCTTTTCAAATATTTAGAAAACTTTGGCGGTCCTTTTTTCTTTCTTAGCCTTTAAAACTTCCCTAGATAACCATGAAAATCAGTGGAAGTGGAATTGACAGCATTGATCAAAATCCATTTTGGTTTTCTAACTGTATCAACTTGTATATGCTACAGCTTTTCTAATATGTATCTGTTCTCTGATTCTGGAGCTGGATGTGTAATTTAGTTATTTCTATTGCTAATACTACCCAATCTAGCAGGAAAAAAAAACTAATTCTCTTGGGGTATTTTTACTCCCTTTCCTTGAAATTTGCCTTGTCTTGTTTATAACCCTTATTTTACCCCTACTTCGTAAATGGCACCACCCAACTTAGGCTAAAAACCTGAGTACCATCCTTCTTTATCCCTCATTTTATCGCCTTTTATTATCATCAGTCAGAAAGCCTATTTTAAACTCATCTACTTTTATCTGTATCTCTCCTGACATTCCCATCTTAGCCACCATGTCTATCCTGTTCTCTCTCTTTTTTAAATTTTATTTTCTAAGAAAAGGGCCCACTATATTGCCCAGGTTGATCTTGAACTAGAGATCTTCCTGCCTGATCCCCAAGTAGCTAGGACTACATGTGTACATTACCATGCCTGGTTACCGTTATATCTTAGGTAAGCCATTGCAACAGTTTTCTTCCTGTTTTCTTCAATTTCCTAAAGTTACTTGTTGAAGAATGCAGTTTGACATATAAAGAGCTTTTTACATGATTTGTTCTTTGAATAAGTAATTCCACTAGTGAAGCCTTATTATTACCAAGTTGCTGATTAGCTTTATGCATGCAGTCGTATAAAATGGAATACTGCTTGAATGCTCAGCAAAAGATAAATGGCTCATGAATCATAATAGAGCCAAATGTGAACCATTATGCAGGAGCTCTGACTTTTTTACAAAAATTTTATCAAAGCATATAGGAACATCTATCTTCAGAAAAATAGTCAGAATATATCATATATAGATGGTGTAACTATAACTGTTTTTTTAAAACAAACTAAACATGTTAATCCTGGAATGGTGGGACTTTGGACAGCAATTCAATATCATGACTATTTTACCCTATATTGAAAAGTTGGGGGTTTTTTTCCCCACAAAACTATCTGAGCAACTCTCTTAGTGAATAAGGTTGAAGTAGAGGTAAATTTATATTTCAGCCCTGACTGAAACCATTTGGCCTGGAATAAACCACTTAAATTTGCCTATAAAAGAGGAATAACCATATTTGTTTTGTAAGATGTTAAGTTAGAAAACCTACAAAACCTAAAACAGGACTTGTCATAAAATGGATACTTTAAAAAGGCAATTGCTGTTATTCTTTGAAGACTGAGAGAAGCAATTACAGAATTTCATTTCCTTTTAAAAATGATCTGTTTACTAATCAAGATATCTTACTTTCTTACATTTTTGGTATGTTTTTCAAGCTTGTTAAATCCTGAGTTGTGTGGGCAGCAAAGCAAAATGAGAAAGTGAATCTGGAAAACCAGACTTCCCAGATTTTACCAAAGTTCACTTGGCTCCTGCCCCATAACTCTTCCCTCGTGAGAGTCCATGAACCAGTTCTTTCAAGTAACATTTTAGAGATCTTCTGGGAATTCCCTTCCCTTCTATTCCTTCCTTCCTCTCCCCTTCCCCCTATGTATACATCTGTTCACACACACACACACACACACACACACACACACACACACACACACTTCTTGTTCTTTTCTGAAGCACTTGTCTCTATAACCCATCAACCAAGAAACATTCTTTTAATCATTATTATCTGTCTTCCTCCTATACGCACTTGAATGAAGCTTCATCCAAGCAGAGATTCTTGTTCTTTTATTTTATTCACAGATATATTATCAGCACCCAGTATAGTGCCTGTCCTATCATAGATGTTCAAGAAGTATTTTCTAAACAAATAAATAAAACAATAAAGAAAATCACTATAGTCACAAACTTTGATTAGATAAGAAGACTTACAAGTAAGCTGACTTATTTTCAAGAATTTTCAAAAATATTGTATCTTTAGCAGTTTAGAAGTCTAACCTTGCTCACTTAAAATATTAACGATAAAACAGCTTTATGTGAAGTTAATCCATTACTTGTATAACTTTAAAATTCATTCAATAAAACCATCGTAATAATGCCCATTCTTATAGTTGCGAATAATTGAGATCTAAGTTCTCCAAAATAGTTCTATCCTGTTTTTGTTGTCTGCTACCTGTTTTCATATTAAAGCAGCTCCTCCTGTCCTTATCTTAAGATAGGACTATATTCAGGGAATCCTTTGCTGTCTGGATTCAGGCTGTATTTCTCAAAAACATGTGTTCTAGCATTCCTGGGCTGTGGACACTCTTGGACTGATTTTTGTGTTAATTACTTAGCTAGTTCCTAGACCAAAATAATAGTCTTATTTTTGAACCAAAAACTCTCAACCAATCAGTTACTTAATTCTTTGGACTTACATATGCCCACACATTAATCTCACAGTTTTTCCTTTCTATATGAATTTCACTCAAGAAGGAAGTTGCTAATAAGTATTTTATTCCATAAACACTTCCCATTTAGCATAGTAGAGGCTAAATTATATATAGGTGTTACCTGCTCAACTGGGGCCGTAAGTTCCTACATGCCATGCCTACATAATGTGGTATAACCTTCTTACTCAATTAGAATTAGGTCAGCTATATTCTTTTGGATAAGGTGTAACATCCAAACTAGAAGTTAAGATGTTTCTTTATTGCTTAATAAAGAAGTCTGTAGCTTGTTTTGATTGTTGGCTAAAATCTTTTATTATTCCTCCCCCACTTCTTACCCCTCTATGTTGATTTGTTTTTTAGGTTTTGTTCCAACTCTGGATGGCACAGAGTTCAGAGTTCTTCAGACGATTAGCCCTGCTACTTTCTCCAACCAATTCACCACTGGGGCCCTTGCTTACTCCAGCACATTTGCCTCATCGTATTTTATCTGATGTGACTCAAGGTCTACCTCATGCTCATTCTGCCTGTTTGGAAGAGCTTAAGCGCAGCTATGAATTCTATCGGTACTTTGAAACTCAGCACCAATCAGCTCCCCAGCGTTTATCCAAAACTCAGCAGAAGTCAAGAGAACTGAATAATGTTCACACAGCAGTGCGCAGCTTACAGCTCCATCTGAAAGCCTTACTGAATGAGTAAGTTTAGAAGCTATATAAGGGAATGGTCCAATGATTCACAAGCTTCTTGGTACCATTGTTGACAGCTAGGTCCTAGCTAGAAAGAATAAACAAAGTTGAGGCATGCAGCCTGAATGGTGGGTGATAGCCATGGATCTAGCAGATGAACCATGATTTGTAAGAACTCTAATTTTGGAGAACATTTATAGTTTTTACATTTCCTGATTTCAACAGAAAACCTAGAAAGTCAAGACAGAAGCAGATGTTCATTGTCTCTGAAGCTCAAATGGAGACATTATGAAATAGAACGCTCTTAAGGTAGGACTTAAAACTGGAACAAGCAGTCTTGAGAGAAGTACTTGCCAGTCCTAAAGCAGTACAGAAGGTATCGTCATATGCACCAGACGAGTAAAAAGTTTTCTGTTTTTGCAACAGATTTGGAAAGTTTTCTCTAATACAGGGCAAGTTTTTGGAGGCTTAGTTGAACTGTAAAAGCTAGGGTACACAGTTTGCATTTCTTGATCTTCTACTTTATATTTTTAGTACTGAGCCATAGTTTCCACATTTTTATCTCATTTCAGTGTATCTTTACCAATTGAAAATATAGTATTTTCATTTATTTTTATTGAGCTAGAAGGGAGAGGAAGCTCAAGTTGTAGAGCACTTGGCACAGCCCTGAGTTTAATCCCCCCCAAAAATAAAGAAAAGAAAATGGAGTCGAAATATAAAATACCTAACACAATCATTCTGATGCAGCTTTTTTTTTTTTAAGTTAGTCAAAGTTAGATCAATTGGATGCTTGGGTTCTTATCGTGTTGGGAAGCAAGAGGGTCTTAGGAATTTACTGAGTTGACAAGATTATAGTTAATTTACTTGTCCCAGAAGACCAGACAAGAAGAAGAACAAAGGGCAGCAGTTAATGTTGTAAGATACATTTCTGACATATCAGTAAAATAGAAAGTGAGTTGTAAGAAGAATGAAGATAAGATGTGCAAGGATAAAAATTTAAGGTCAAAAAAATTTAAGGTCAAAAGAATATTTTGAGCTGGACACCAGTGGCTCACGCCTGTAATCCTAGCTACACAGGAGGCTGAGATCTGAGGATCACAGTTCAAAGCCAGCCTGGACAGGAAAGTCCATGAGACTCTTAGCTCCAATAAAAAACCACTAGAAAAACCAAAAGTGGTGCTGTGGCTCAAGTGTTAGAGCACTAGCCTTGAGCTGAAGAGCTGAGGGACAAGGCCCAGGCCCAGAGTTCAAGCCCTATTACCAAAAAAAAAAAGAATATTTTGAGAAGAAAGATGTTTCCTATAACTTCACGGGCCTAGGATAAGTATGGTAGGATAGGCTCAAATAAAGGTTACAGCCTGGGGAAAATGAAGAGACCCTGAGATGAAGGTGTTGCAGTGATTCATATCTGCTGTTCTGTAACTTGTGCCATAGCTCCACTTCCTCGGTCTGCTGATGTAATGTAACAGATGGATGTTAACCCACCTTTTAGCGAGGAATATGGGAGATAAGGCCATTTTTGTTTAAATAGATGGCAAAAATTAGATTATCATCAGGGAAAAAGGAAATTTCAATAGAGAAGTTGCATTTGTCAAAACCAGAGTTTCTGGCAATAGAATCAGAAATATACCAGACGTATTGATTGCATTACAGTAAAGGAAAATGGCTTAGGGAAAAAAGTGAGATATCCTCCATGGACATGAATACAAATAAAAAGAGCTTTGTACCTCAGACAGGAATTGTGAGTTACGTGAAGAAGTGTCTTGTTTTAAAATAATAGTCTAGCTGGGCACTGGTGGCTCATACCTGTAATCCTAGCTACTCAAGAGGCTGAGATCTGAGGATTGCTGTTCAAAGCTATCCCAGGCAGGAAAGTCTGTGAGACTCGAGACTCCAATAAATTACAAAAGAAAAGCCAAAAAGTGGAGCTGTGACTCAAGTGGTAGAGTGCAAGCCTTGAGCAAAAGAAGCTAAAAGTCTGCACCCAAGTCCTGAGTTCCTACCCTAGGACCAGCAAAAAAAAAGTAGTCTATATATGCTACTATACATTGACTTTCCAAATACTTTAATCAAAAAGTATACCAGGCCGGGCGCTGGTGGCTCACGCCTGTAATCCTAGCTACTCAGGAGGCTGAGATCTGAGGATCGTGGTTCAAAGCCAGCCTGGGCAGGAGAGACCGTGAGACTCCTATCTCCAATAAACCACCAGAAAACCGGAAGTGGCACTGTAGCTCAAGTGGTAGAGCGCTCACCTTGAGCTGAAGAGCTGAGGGACAGCGCCCAGGCCCAGAGTTCAAGCCCCACGACCTTCAAAAAAAAAAAAGTATACCAGTCACAAATTATCATATGATTTTCTCAATATTGCTTCTATACACTACTTTAGAGATAAGGTCTTCCTGTATAGCTTAAGTGGGCCTTGAATTCACTAGCGAATCTTGGCCTTGAACTTAAGAGCTTCCTGCCTCAGCCTTCAGAGTGCTGGTATTGTAGGTGTTTATTACCATACTTAGTTCATACATACCACTTTGAAACATGTTATTTTTTTAATGCCTTTTTGTGTGTATGGTATGTATGTACAGTAGGAAAGAGCTCTAGCATTTGAGCTATACCTCCTAAAAAATGGTTTTATATCTTATACTTTGAAACCTTTTTGAGTCTCTTCTTTTGCTCAGTTGCTGTTCCCACTTGGTGCCTCTGCAGGATCCTCTTACCTCTTGCCTGTACTTGGGTATGAGACACTAGCCATCCCCACTCAAGAGAGTACACTACCATATTAAGAGACATGCAAGGACTGGGAAGGTGGCTCAGTGGTAGAGTGCTTGCCTCACATGAATGAGGCCCTGGGTTCGATCCCTCAGTACCACATAAGCAGAAAAAGCTGGATGTAGCGCTGTGGCTCAAGTGGTAGAGGTCCCCACAATGGACAAAAAAGGAAAAAGAGAGACATATGTGAGGATTGTGGTTAGAAGCCAGTTGGCAGACAAAGTCAAAACACTCTTATCTTCTATTATTAACAAGCAAAAAGTCAGAAGTAAAAGTGTGATGTAAGTGGTAGGGCTTTAAGAGAAAAAAAAATTAAGCAATTCTCAAGCCCCAGTCCCCCCTACACACATACACACAAGGCATATATTTATGTATTCACTTTTATACTTAACTGATAATCTTAACTGGTTTCCAAATATAGGTGCTTCAAATGAAGCAGCTTACAGAAAGTTGCTGTTTTCTGTCCTGCCAAATTATACAAATGACTTTTTGCCATGTTTCATCTAACATGGTATTCCTCACTTTTTATATAAGCATATTTTTCCATATATATATATATATATATATATATATATATATGGTGCTGATCCTAGGGCTTACACTCAGGGCCTAGCGGCTGTTCCAGAGCTTTTGTGCTCAAGGCTAGCATTCTACCACTTGAACAACAGCACCACTTTGGGCTTTTTCTGAGTAGTTTATTGGAGAAAAGAGTCTCACAGACTTTCCAACCCAGGCATGCTTTGAACTGTGATCCTCAGATCTTAGCCTCTTGAGTAGCCAGCATTATAGGTATGAGCCACTGGTGCCCTGATCCTTTTTAAGATATTTTTAATAAAATAATAAAATATATTGTTGGCATGCGGTTTGAACTCAGGGTTTGGGCGCTATCCCTAAGCTCTTTCTGCTCAAGGTTAGTGCTCTACCTCTTTGGACCACTTCTGGTTTTCTGGTTAATTGGAAATAAAGAGTCTCACAGACTTTCCTGCCTGGGCTGGCTTCAAACCATGATCTTCGGAGCTCAGCCTTCTGATTCAGTTACTTTTTATTATACCCTGGCTGGCCTAGGACCTCCTTTTTACACTTTCCTCATAACTGTAATGACAAGCACACACAACAGCTCCTGGCTTTTTTGTTGTTGTTGACATGGGGTCTCACAGACTTTGTTGCCCTGGCTGACTTCTAATCTGAGTCCTCCCAATCTGCCTTCTGAGTAGCTAGGATTACAGGCGTGAGCTACCCCATTAAATCATTTTTAAGGGTATAGATCACTAATTATCTCTGGAGCATTTTTAGTTTATAAGCGTATTTTTAAAATACATAGATGATACTTACAATTTTCCATTATATATTTTTAAATATGTTTTTTTTCTCTATTATCCAGGGTAATAATTCTTGAAGATGAACTTGAAAAGCTTGTTTATACTAAAGAAACACAAGAGCCAGTATCAGAGGCCTATCAGGTTCTAGAACAGAAACTAAAGTTGATTGAGCCCCATGTTCAAGCAAGCAACAGTTGCTGGGAAGAGGCCATTTCTCAGGTGGACAAACTGTTACGAAGAAAAACAGACAAAAAAGGTACCTTTGGAGCTATCTTTAGCACATATTCATTAAACAAACTCATTCCAGTCTGGTAGTAGGCTTCACAAAATCAATCTTAGATTACTAAAGTAAACAGATAAAACCTGTTAAATTTATGTTTAAAAGTTGTCATTGAATTCAAATGTTGGCTTATATTTTCATATAAAACAATTACAGTTTGAGCATTCAGTAAATCTTTCTAAAAAGAAACTGAAATGATTCAGTAGACACTATATTAAAAATGAACTATACAATTCGTAGGCAGGGATAAGAGTTTGGGCTTGGAGAAAACAAAGCATGTGGTGCATTGTCCAAAAAAAAAAAATGTACTCATTACCTGACTTAAGAAATGATAACCCCTCTGTACAACACCTTAATAATAATAAAAAACTGAAATGAAAGGATGACTTTTAATAGTATTTTTTTATCATTAAGAGTTCCAGAAACGTATATTTAGGGTATTAAAAGAACGAATTTAGCCAAGCATAATGATCCAATCGAATACTCTTCTGCAGTAAAAGGAGTGATCCAGTCAGGTTCTGGTGACTCATGCCCATAATCTTAGCTACTCAGGAAGCTGAGGTCTGAGGATTGAGGTTCAAAGGCAGCCAGCACAGAAAAGTTCATGAGACTCCAATTAACCAGCTTTGCCAGATGGGAAACATGGCTGAATTCCTAGAGAGCCAGCCAAGAACAAAAAGCTGAGCAGGAAAAAACACAGCTAAAATTATGAGTAGCAAAGATTATGAGCATGAACCACTGTAACCTGACTGTATCACCCCTTTTATTACAGAATAATAGTCCATAGGATCACTATGCTTGGTTATATTCATTCTTTTATTACCCTAAATGTAAGCCCGTGATCAACACCAAAAGAAGAAGAGGAAGAGGAAGAAGAAGAAGAGGAGGAGGAGGAGGAGGCAACAGGATTTTTTTTTTTTTTTGTCAGTCATGGGGCTTGAACTCTGGGAACTGGGTGCTGTAACTCAGCTCTTCAGCTCAAGGCTAGCACTCTACCACTGAGCCACAGCGCCACTTCCAGTTTTCTGAGTGGTTTATTGGAAATAAGATTCTCACTGACTTTCCTGCCCTGGCTGGCTTTGAACTGCTATCTTCAGATCTCAGCCTCCTGAGTAGCTAGGATTACTGGTGTGAGCCACAGGCACCAGCCCAGGATGAATTTTTATCTCAATCTCTGATGCATTATGCTAGATGAAAGAAGCCAGACCCAAACTACTTCATACTTCTTACTTCATGTACATGGCATTTTTAAAATGTCAAAGAAACACTAAACAGACTAGTTATTACTAGGAGTTGGAAATAGGGAGGTATGAATTACAAAGAGGCAGCAGAAGTTAATATTGTCTAAACTTATAGTATACTCAAAGTTAACTTTTTAAGCAAATAAAACCCGCTCATGTTCTGGGGATTGAGCTCAGAGCCTTATACTCACTATGCAGGTACTCTGCTACTTGAGCCCTGTTGCCAGTCTGTTTTGTTTTATGTATTTTTCAAATGGGGTCTCAAATTTATGCCTGAGCAGAACTGAACTGCCACTTTTTGTTTTTGTTTTTGTTTTTGCTGGTCCTGGGACTTGAACTCTGGTCCTGGGCACTGTTCCTCAGCTTTTGCTCAAGGTTAGTGCTCTACCACTTGAGCCACAGTGGCACTTCTGTCTTTTTTCTGAGTCGTTTGTTGGAGATGAGAGTATCATGGATTTTCCTGCCTGGCCTGGCTTTGAACCTCAATCCTCAAATCTCAGCCTTCTGAGTAGCTAGGATTACAGACGTGAGCCACTAGGCTCCACTTCTGAGTAGCTGACAGGTGTATATTCAACTTATTGTTGGAAATGGGATCTCACTAACTGCCTGGGCTGACCTATTCCCCCCCCCCCCCCCAGCTCACTTGGGTTTGTTTTAGCTTGAATTTTATTACTATGTTGGTTGCCAATTGGTAATGTTCTAATTCCATTTTTCCTTTTATACCTTGGCAGTCTACTGTAAGGTAAAATGTATACTTACTTAGATCCCTCTTTTCATATTTAGACCAGTAAAAACATGGATTCTGATTTATTTGGTGAATGCTAAGTCATTACTATAATGTTCTTTGTTTCTCAAACTGAGGTGTCAGCTGATTTGTACCAACATTATTATTTGAGCACTTCCTTGCTTTCTTAGCTTCAGTCTGATATCAGCCTTGTCTATATGAAACCTTCAACCCTTTTATTGGAGAGTGGCATTTAGAAACCAAGATCTTTAGTGTTACATATGTTTACTGCTGTGGGATAAAATATATAATTGCTGTGTGTGTGTGTGTGTGTGTGTGTGTGTGTGTGTGTGTGTGTGTGTGTGTGTGTGTGTGTGTGTGTGTGTGTGTGTGTGTGTGTGTGTGTGTGTATGCTGGTTCTGGGACTTGAACTCAGGGCCTGGGCACTGTACTCAAGGCTAGCACTCTACCACTCACCACAACTCCACTTCCAGCTTTTTGGTGGTTAGTTGGAGATAAGAGTCTCACAGAGTTTTTTGCTGGCTTTGAACCACGACCATCAGATCTCAGCACTTTGACTAGCTAGGATTACAGGTTTGAGCCACTAGTGTCTAGCTTATAATTGCTTTTACACTATCTCATTGTAAGGATGGAGCTACAAAGTTTGTGTGTACATATAGGTACAATCCAGGTCTATTTCCATATGTGTCTGTCTATATATGTAATAACTGTGAATCACACTAATAACTAATCCTACTCTCTACCTTTCATTCAGCACTCTACTTAAAAAGGACAAGGGATGGAAGAGACCCTTGATAGGCATGGGCTAGTGTGGCCAAAGCAAGCTGGGGCTAAAAGATGGGAAGAACTCTCAGCAGTGTGGCTTATGAAGTTGTGGTTAGTCACATATAAAGGGAATGACTTAAGTAAATATTCTAAAGATGAGAGCCAAACTACTCACCGAGAAGGGAGGTACAAATACAGAAAGAGTTGGATTCTCCAGCCCCATTTCTCCAGTTAAAATATCATCAGTATAAGACTGATTTGGGGGAGTGGGAATGTGGCTTATTGGTAGAGTGCTTGCCTAGTATGCATGAAAGCCCTGGGTTTGATTCCTCAGCACCACAAAGACAGAAAAATCTGGAAGTGGCACTGTGGCTCAAGTGGTAGAGTGCTAGCCTTGAGCACAGAGAGGCTCAAGAATAGTGCCCTGGCCCTGAGTTCAAGCTCCAGAACTGGTACCAAAAAAAAGACTGATTTTTATTTTTTTGTGTGAGGAAGAATAGTGCTAGGTATTAAAACTATTTCTATGATGTGAACAAAATATTTTGCTTAAGGCAAAGAAGGCAGAAAACCAGGTCCTCTAAGAGTTTTAACGTAAATTAAAATCTACTCATATTACTGTTAACTTTGTTGTCTTTTCCACTCATAAATTAAAACGTTTTAGTAGGAACAAGTTGGACTATGAAGCTAACAATGGATTAGAAGCAGGAGTGTTTTTGTTGCATGTTTAACATTTCTCACCCTTTTTCAATGCCCTTCTCCCTTGCAGGCAAACCTGAAGTGGCATGTGAGAACTCACACTGCATCACCACTCCTGTGATCCCGCCTGCTCTACACATTGCAGACAAAGACCCCATCCCTGAGGAACAGGTAAGGGTGGCAAGTACCTTCTGGTACATACAGAGTTTTTACATACAGAGTTTTTCCACCTTTGTTTTAAATTATATAAATCATTATCAAATGGACAATTGTCAGGTAACTTGCTGAATTTGTTTCTAATGAGCTGCAAAATTTGAATGCAATACTGAAAATTCCTATCAGAGCATTAATTCTCAGTGTCTTGCATCTGAATTATCCAGCCCACCAGCAGAATTTATATCTGATTTTTTTCAATTTTATATAGGCTTTTAAAAGTGATGAGATATAATAAAAGCTAAGTGGAATGCTGGATGTGTTTTTATCTTGGTTCTAGGTAATACTTACCAGTATGTATACATACATAAAAATCCTGTATACTTAATATTTGAGCACTTGACTGCATGTATTATATACTTTAATAATGCTTAATTAATTACCTAATTCGTTCATTTTACTTTGTAGCCCAGGCTGGCCTCAGAGTCTCAATCTTCCTGCATTAGCTATCAAATGCCAGGATTATAGTTGAATAATACCATGCCTGGCTCTATATTTTAAAGAATAAAATTTTAATGAATGCATTTATTATTGACAGATTTATTTTCCTCATTCCTGAAATTTTTCTTCTCCTTAGTTTATATTATCTACTTGGTACTCTTCTTTGCAAATGGGAACTTAACCCTAGTGTAGTACATCATTTGTTTAAAGTCATTAAATGACTTACAGATCATTTTGAAGAGTCAGGTAAGCAGGCTTGAACCAGTCTCCAGCAAACAAACGCTACCACTCCAAAGAACTGTTCCAGTAGAGACTTGTTGAGTTGCTAGGACAGTAGTAAAAAGTAGCTTCAGAACCAATTCCTCTGGAAACTTGATCTGCCATTGTCCTTCCTCAAGGTGCCTGTCACTATTATCACGAGGGTCTGAGTCAGATCAGGTGCAGGCATTTCAGATTAGAGGATCCCTTTGCATTTGCCTGAGCCTTACCTGCAAGGACAGCTGGGTAAGAAATACCCTGCCTTTTCTTGGAGACATGGAGGACCATAAGATGACATGCTCTCTAATCCTAGGAACTTCCTGGGAAATCAAAAAGAACCAGAGTTTACTGTAAGAAGAATATGCCTAACCACATCCCCAGATTTGAAGCCCTTCCAGTTTTGGTTGGAATTGGCATAGCAAATACCTTAATGTTGACTATATTTATAGTATGTTATCAAAGTAGAAAAACAGCCATAGAAATTGTTCACGACACTGTTAATGTTAACTGAACCTTCTTGAAGGTTTTATCATAGGTATGTTTGTGATTACCCCCCCCACCCACACACAACATACATACTCTATCTGTACTATGATAACCTGTGCCAAGAGTAACTCATCATGTTTTTATCTTAGAGATGAGTAGCTACAATGAAGTGGATGCTAGTAGAAAAACTGTTTAAATTGAAGTGCTTTTTCTGCTATTCATTTTCAGGAACTAGAAGCTTATGTAGATGATATAGATATAGACAGTGACTTCAGAAAGGATGATTTTTATTACTTGTCTCAAGAAGACAAAGAGAGACAAAAGCGTGAGCAGGAAGAATCCAAGAGGGTGCTTCAGGAATTAAAGTCTGTGCTGGGATTTAAGGCTTCAGAGGCAGAAAGGCAGAAATGGAAGCAGCTCCTGTTTAGTGATCACGGTAAGTTCCAACTTCAGAGCCAATGCATATTTCAATGAAGGAGATTCTTTGTTTTCTGAGCCATGAATCTTATTTCAACTGTACACTTCTAGGTCCATCAGAAAGCATAGTACTTTATCATCTAAAAGCAAATATGAAGAATATATAGATATGAAATCATGCTCTTTTGCCAGTTATTTTATTTTTTATTAAATTTGTTTCAGAGTTGAATTTAAGTTGAATAATTTGAGCTAGGTATTGGTGGATCAAGCCTGTCATCCCAGTACTGTGAAGGTTAATGAATAAGAATCATTAATTCAAGGCCACCCTGAGCTATGTAACAACAAAGAATAATAATAAAACAATGATTTTGAGATTATAAACTCTGTTCACTATATTAAAAGAACCTCATGAAGGACAAAATTAATAAATAATTATGTGCTTACTTTTGAAAAGAATTAAGACCTAGGCCAGTTAGCCATGCCTTAGGTTTGCTTAAGTGATTTGACTGCATTATAGATGGGATGAAGAATACATCATCTCCATCCTCAAATTTGGACATGCTTGAGTGGCTGATAATACCAAAAATTAGCCTTAAACTGTTACTCACACCTCCTTTCTTTAGTCACACTTCATGTTAAACAGGAAAGGATGAGGAGAAGCTTGATACTTGGCAAGACTGACCTAGCTCATTCCTTGTTGAATTAATTCCTATGATTATGTGAGTCCCTTCCATTTTAGAGGATCTTTATGGACCTTCAAAATCAGTTGCCTGTCTTTATATCTCACACTAGTAGATAACCATTCTGAACGCTCCTCAGTGTTCTTCTATAAGCCTTTCTTGTCTCTCCTGTCCTCTCTACATTTCTTGCCTTTATCTTTCCTTTTTCTTCTCATTGACCCATTTTATAACTTAAGTCTGCAACTAAAATAGTCTCTCAGCTGACTTCCATTTCAGTACCCTTTTTTCTAAGCTATCCTACAAACTTTCCAGACTTTTCTCAGACAGCATACTGATAACGACTCTGTCCTAAAACTTATAATGGTCTCTTATTGTATTAGCTTCTCCATCACAGAAGCCCAACATTTCATTAACTACCTACTGTTTCTAATGAAAATATTGTCTTCAACCTTAAAATGTTCTGGTTAGAATGCATTTCCACAAATCTTCTATTTTTATTCATGAAGATAACTCACACTGATCCATTTAACATTCATTCTTCTCTACCAAGCTGCTTGCTCTACCAGTATGTTTTCTGTAAATTCTCTGCTTCAGTCCCAACATCTCTCCTACCTCTGTAGAACCTCACAATAGAGGCTGCATTGAGTTATAAGGGATATTTGAACCAGCAAGAAGAGAAGGAAAATGATTACTTCCCAGAAGCAGCAATAAAATAATAGTTCCTTCAATATACTTGTTGATATATTGGTCCTACACAAATTAGAGATGAATGACATTATGTATTAGGCACTACTTTTTTTGTGTGTTCAGGTTGTTTTGGTTTTTGGATTTGGGGGTGGCATTGTCTCTGTAAATTCTTAAGTAAGGGCTTCATTATTCTCAGAGCTTTCATTCAGCAAGTTATTTGACACACAGTTACTGAGTGCTCATTAGATGCTAGGCTCTGTTTACTTGTATCCTTAGCACAAAAATGTATACCCTCCTAGAGTCTTACATTCTAACACACTTGTCATCTGAGCCTCTCCTTATGCAGATTCTGTCTCCCCACTCAGTTAGCAATAATCACGATTCTCAACCAATGCTAATGCATTATATTTGTTAAGGACTAGAAGAATTATGGACTAAACATGTACATAAATACTGAAAATAGCATTTGATGTAAGCTTGTATTTTTTATTGTTAAGTATTTTCTTCATGTAGCTTTAAAATTACCTATTGATACAATGTGCACATGGGAGAAATGTGTTTCATCCTCAGGTATGTGCTTTTGATACTGTTTGCACTTTAAAAAGCAATAATGCTGTGTCATTTGTAAAAGTAAAAATTTGCTGATACCATAAAATGCTTTTCCCATGAAAATTTCCAGTACATCTTCCAGAGTTGTTTTCATCTCTGCCTACAGGGGTAAAGTCCGAATGGAATTAGAGAGGGAAACTCTACACTGGAACCTGCTGTGGCCATTTTTTTTTCTGTGGTTGCTGCTTCTCTAGTGGAGTTAGTTCTTGGAAGTGGACACGTTTTACAAATATTTTTTTAAGCACACGCGAGATCTTCAAGAAGCACTTTTTCCCTCCGTCATGCTTCATAATAGATTGTTTTGTACTAACCCCTCATGCTGGGAGGAGAGACTAACATCAAGAGGGGCTAAATAAAACTTCATTTTCCTTGCAAGGACAACCTTCTGCCGTATGGATATATATTCTATTTATGGATTGTACTTTGTTCAGAGTTGATCTTGAATGAGATTTTATTTCACTTGTGTTTTTCTGTAGCATTGCAAAATGTATAGAAATATGGCTTCCATTAGGGTCTTCTAGGTGGTTGGCAAGTCAGATTAATTATATGTTGAACTTGTTTCCGTATTGCTTTAACTTGTAAAAACGTGTGTGTGTGTGTGTGTGTGTGTGTGTGTGTGTGTGTGTGTGTACTTAATAATATATGATCCCTGGGTCACTTGAGGCCTTTTTGCAGTAAAAACTACATTGCTCATTCTTTAACATCAATGTCTCTCAGAATGTGCATCAGAATCAAGAGGAAGATTTAGCAAAAATAGCTTGCCCCCAGTCCCAGAGTTTCCAGTACAGTAATCTGGGATCAGGCACTAGAATTTGTATTTCTGACTACTTCCTGGGCGATGACCAATCCTGTTGGTTCAGAGACTATACTTTGAAGACCATTGCTTTCATTTAAAAAATCTCTAGCAAACCTCCATCTTATCTAACTTAGGCATTTTATCTCTGATTGTTTCCCAAATTTATAAATTTATATTCATTTTACTAGGAAGTTTTATTAAGCTTTTATTTATTGTTCTCTTTAAGAAAAAAATCTGTTGGGAGTTTAAAAATCATTGCTGAGTCCTTAGTTATTATTTTTCTTTTTTCTTTTCTTTCCTTTTCTTTCCTTTTTCTTTGAAGCTGTGTTGAAAACCCTGTCTCCTGTAGACCCAGTGGAACCCATAAGTAATTCAGAAACATCTATGACTTCAGATATTGGAGAAGTCGATAAAAACGATACTGATGAAGATAGTAGTAAACCTTCCACAGCCGACAATGAGATAAGTAGGACTGAGTATGTATTTGAGGACCCTGTAGAATGTCAAAACAAAGACGCCGCAGCAAATGAGGTCGTCCTTGAAGGAGTTGCAGAAAGAATGTACTACCAGTGTAAGAGTGAGCATGAACTACAGCAGGCCAGTAGTGGCGGCCTGGCCACTGCCCCTTCACATCCCAGAGACTCACCAGAGCCCTCCATTAAGCAGAGGTTGGCACGGCTACAGCTGTCACCAGAATTTACCTTTACTGCTGGCCTCGCTGCAGAAGTGGCCGCTAGATCTCTGTCCTTCACCACCATGCAAGAACAGACTTTTGGAGATGAGGAGGAAGAACCAGTAATTGAAGAAAGTGAAAATGAAGTAGAAGAAAAGTGAGAATCAAGATGAAGTCATTTTAGATTGTTCCTATTACAAAGTGTTTTAGCCTCAAGACTGGAAAGGGAAAATGAGTGTAAGTTTACTATATCTAAAGCTAAGATGTGAATTTACAGAAAGAACCCTGGTTTGAACAACTGATCTAAAATTAGTAGTTACCTGTATATGGATGGTCTTTTAGAAAATAAGAAAGGTAAGGGCTCTTTTTGAATAAACAGCTATTTTAATGTGGCACAACTGATGATCTTGATAATTCTTTAAGTACTTTTAATAAGAAATGAAGTTATCATTTCTTGCCAGGATTTGCTACCATAAGGTAACCGGGATAATTCTCTTGCAAGAACATTAACATTTAGTATGACTCCTTTTTACTGTATCCTTGCAGTTAACAACTGCAGCCATTATGTCAATAATAATTGTTTGTATTTTATTTTTGTTTATACCAGTCTTAAAGATACAGGTTCTGAATAAAATACTTAATTCATACAATTGATGTGTGCTGGGATTTGGAACTTAAAACTAGTTTCAAAAGTATTTGGGTTATATATTTCCTTGATCATATATGTATTCAGTAATTCACTTTTAGGTGTCCTACAATCTTAAAAGAGAACTTTGTACCACCTGAAGAACTACCATTTCAAATTTCTTTTCGTTCCTGTAGCAACTGAAAGCAGTGATGTCCAAGTGAGATCCTCACATTCAAAGACCCCCCCCCCCACCTTAAGAAAGCTCTTTGTATCTGTTTGCTAATGCATCATTGCCACAGGCAGGTGACGGTGCTGCTATTTTCTAGCTGTACTCACCTTCATGAGATTCAGGGAAGCTCCTGTCAGCTGCTTGGAAAGTATTATTATTTCTCTAGAATTTCATTTACAAATTACCTCTTAAAAGAGACTGCTTTGACCAATCTTATTTGTTTTGTGTTGTGGTTACATTTTCATTAATGTACTGGTTTTGAAACCTATAGCTCCTGTACACTAACATGGTTTATAGACATTCCTTGGGAAGAAATGTAGGAATAATTAAATTTATGTTGCTGTTTTAAAAAGGAAATTACATGATTTTAGGTTGTCTTTACACATTCAGATTCCTGCAATTTATCACTGTTAGTGAGTAAATTGACAAACTAAAGGTATGGTGTTTTGTTTCCTCTATTGTTTATCCTGAGGAAAAGCTTCTGCTTGATATGAATAATAGAGCTCATTTGTAGCTTAAGTGATTTTTGTCTTTTGCTAAAATTCTGGGACTTAACATAATTATCATCTTAGGAGCAGTATCTTAGGTTAGACTTAGCAACACAGAAACAGCTCAATTTTAAGGGGGAAAAAAAAGAATCTTCTTGTGTTATAAATGCCATCTGTTTCCCTAGATAACAATATTTGCTTTCTTGTTTAAATTACTTATTTAGTTTGCCAACTCCATCTTTCCTTGAATTTGGAAAATTCAATTATGGAAAATTTGGTAAACTCTCACCATATAACCTCACATAAGAAAAACTGGGGGGAAAATCTTTATAAGGTTTTATCAGTTTTATTCAGTACTCTCTGAGGTAGGAATTTTTAGCCCTGAAAGACTAAATTATTTTGCTCATAAATTCCCAACCTGGCTGGGCGCCAGTGGCTCATGCCTGTAATCCTAGCTGCTCAGGAGGCTGAGATCTGAGGATCACAGTTCAAGCCAGCCCAGGCAGGAAAGTCTGTGAAACTCTTTTCACCAATAAACCACCAGAAAACCAGAAGTGGTGCTGTAGCTCAATTGTTAGAGCGCTAGCCTTGAGCTGAAGAGCTGAGGGACAGCACTCAAGCCCAGAGTTCAAGCCCCGTGACTGACAATAAATAGATAGATAGATAGATAGATAGATAGATAGATAGATAGATAGATAGATAGATAGATAGATAGATAGATAAAAATTCCCAACCTGCCAGTCTGATCTGCTTTATTTGGCTAGCTAGTACTTAGTGTCATGAAAATATTTATTGCTGAAATCGTAATACAATCAGCTTGGAACTGTAAGTGAAGCCTTATGGGAAGAACATTTTGTTGGGAAAACTTCTGCTTTTCAAATTCTTCTTAGGAGTAGCATTCTGACAGCTTTTAATACAAACATTGCCATAATTTGTTTTACCAGGACAAACCTCATACTCCAAGGAAGATTCTTTGTAAAATCATGGCAGTACTTGACCTCTGGCATCTGTTATGTCTTAAGTCCTTTTCCTCTGTTTCTGTCAGAACCCTACCTCACTGGCATGTCTAGGGCTAGACTCTTGCTGGTCTTTGATTGCTTATTTACCAAGTTTGTGTGTTTATATCACTTTATGGGTTAAATCTTCACTAGAGTAATTTGAGCTCACTGTATCCGAATCTATTTCATTAGGAATTGAAACATTAACTCAAGTTTGAATTCTTAAATACTGGATACAAGCAAATCAGGAGACACATAAGGCAGATTACTAAGAATATTATTGAAGAACTGTGTCAGACTTGATTACATAAGGATAGGCTGGAGTTTAAGTCCTAGACTCTTCATTCCAAAGTTAGGAGTACAGCCAAACTGAACAGGTCAAGGGGAGTTTCCCCAGAGAAACTGTTAAATGATATTGGTAATTTCTTCTCAGATGTTTAGAAAGGAAATAAACATTTAAGACTGAAAGGCAAGATTTGGTTAAAATTTGTAAAATAGGTTAAAAAATTTAAATCAGTTTTCTCAACTAGTATCTTTGTATTCTTTGTATCTTCTTAAAAGATACAAAGGTTAATGTTAAAGCAGTAAAAGAATTGATATCTGTTCCACTTCAAAAGTTGTAAGTCCATAGAATGTTAACTAGAAACCTCCTAGGACCCTGGATTTCATTTTTCTCTGGGGACTAGTTTTATCCTGTGTAAAATAAGAAACCTTTTGTCAAATTTTTAGAAATGAGAAGATAAGTTCAGCTCATTTGATTTTATCCTAGTATATTGTTTTGTGTATCCAAATAAAGCAAGGATACATGAACTATGTACCCTAAGGCTGTGGTTTAGCTCAGCTAAGTCAGTGTTTGAAATTGCATAGATAACATGCTATATGAATGACAACCAGGCAGAGTCATTTTACCAATTTTGTTAAAGAGAATATATCTTTGCAGTTCATGTCAGATTAAAAAATGAAGCGACAAATGTTTTAGCAAGATACAGAAAAGTATTGCTTAGGTTCATTCACCCATCCTATCATTATCGATAGATAACTAACTTGAATCAATTAATTTTTTAGGTAATAGAGACAAGTCCATTTAGTCATTGAGTTTAACATTTTAATAACTAAGTGAATATTCTTTTTTTTTAGGTTTTTTTTTTTTTTGCTAAGGTATACAGAACATAGTTAACCTTTTAAGAATATCACCTCCTCTCGCTGGGTGATCTAGTCCCCTCGGGGATGCTCAGATGCATAGTGTCTGTGCCCCTCTGCTCTATGACTTCACATTGCTTTGCTTTCTGAATTTTGTCTGTTTTTTCACAGTTTCTCTATTTTTCCCTGTAATCAGCTGTCATTTTTGCTGCTGTCTTGTGTGCCTGCCTCCTGCAGTAGGTCCTTAATGTGCTGCTTCTAATCTGCTATGGACTGAGAAACCAGATTGCAAGCTTGCTAGAATTGTCTAAACCAAGAGTAAGTAGTCTGAAACAAAGCTGAGGGCTTTTTCTGTCAGTAAAGCATGTGGATTTTGTGATATCTGTTGGACAGTTTAATGTTCTTTGGTTTGCTTAGTTCTGTAATAAAATTTGCTAAACAAGGCAAATATTACTAAGAACTGACTAACTTGGCCATTTGAAAAATTACTCTTTTTAGAAATCCGTTTTCTGTTGAACTTAAACTTCCAACATTAAAATATTTTGTACTTACTTCTAAAGGAAGTCTAAAACTTACAGATTTGCTATTTTCTTAATATATATAGCTTAGTCCTTTGATATTAAAATTAACACTATTAATGTTTGTTATTATGCCCTAATGAACTAATTAAACTCTAAGAACTATTTGTTCCTGTACTAAAATGGCTCCATTCTGCTAGACCTGTTTTAGTTTTGCTTTTGATAGTTGTTCTGATTCTCCATTTATATCATTGCTTAAGTGAGTTTGTAACGAACAGCAGTAGCCTTTCTCCACCTTCATAGTGTGTCTTCTGATCTGCTTTGGGTTTGGAGACCAGATGACTAAACTTGTTAGAACTGTCTACCAGGTAAGAGTAAAAAGATGAAGCAGAAAAACCTGAAGAAGTTTACTTAGTGCATGATTTTTTGTGGTATCTATTACCCAGCACCTGTTACATTACTCTCTTTAATCCAGTGAAATTACTGGGTTAGATACCTGTTTACCAAATAGAAGAATGATTATTCTATAACACAATGTTAACCATTTTGTTTCCATACTTCCCTTAAGTTATTCTATACCACAATTCTTTGGCTCTGATTAAAACCAGTCCATTTGAGTTAGCATTTTGCATGTATTTTTGTATTTGAATCAGATACTAGTTGGTAAGATTTCTTCAGTTTTCAAAGGAGGTGTGTCTTCATTTCCAAGGCATGAAGTAGATTAAGCCCTGGAAAAATAAAGCATTTATTATCATCACAGAGACCTGAGAAAAAAGTTTATAGACTCTATGCAACTATACTATAAAGAATTTTTAATATGCTACTTTCAAAATAGTGCCTTTGTTTTCATTCAGCTAAAGAAAATGTACTAAGCTGGGTGCTGTTGGCTCATGCCTGTAATCATAGCTACTCGGGAGATCCTGAGGATTACACTGTGGCTGAAGTGGTAGAGCACTAGCTTTGAGCACAAAGAAGCCCAGGGACAGTGCCTAAACCCTGAGTTCAAGCCCCAGGATCAGCAATAAAATAAAATAAAGGAAATGTACTTTAAAAGTTGACAATAAGTTATTACTGTTGGATCTAATGATACTGAAAGAACTATCTTGAAATTTGAATGGCAGAGTATCACTGTGTATTTGGCATACTTAAATGGTCATTGAGTATGTGAAATTATTAAGCAAAGATATTTTTTTCTTGAATGAAAATAAACATAATTTGCATGTTATATTTTCAAGTGAAATTCAAATCTGTGTAGATGTGGCTATCATAGCAGCAAACAGTTCATTTTTACCAACATGCATACTGTGTTTTTTAGTAACTATATGGTTACTAAATGATTCCATCACGTACAGACAGGTAAGTATATTTTCTGACCATGTTACAAGTTACCTATAGCTTTCAAGTATACATGCTAATGGAAGAGAGTTGTTATAATAATAATCAAAAAAATGCCAAAACCATTGTATGGATTGAGTTAAGACTCATTACAGGAGTGATAGTCACAATGCAAATGTGGGTTAGTGCTACAAGAGAAAGTTTCTCTTTGAGTACAGTTTACTTCAAAAATGATACATGGAAAAGTTTAGCAAGAAGAATCTATTTTATGCATATATTATAATGTATAATAAGTTTTACATGCACACGACATCTTCAAAATAATGAACATTTTTAGCTGGGTGCCGGTGGCTCACACCTGTAATCCTAGCTACTCAGGAGGCTGCGATCTGAGGATCACTGTTCAAAGCCAGCCTGGAAAGGAAAGCCCGTGAAACTCTTACCTCCAATAAACCACTAGAAAAATGGAAGTGGCGCTGTGGCTCAAGCGGTAGAGCGCTCACCTTGAGATGAAGAGTGCAGGGACAGCGCCCAGGCCCAGAGTTCAATCCCCACAACCAAAAAAAAAAAAAAGTACATTTTAATCTATCTTAGCCTTTCAGCAGTGAAAATAGTTTTATCTTGAAATGCAATTTGCAACATATTGGAATAGATTGCTATCTAAGCTGTGTATACTTTTGAATATGTATCTTCAAAAATGAAAGTAGTATAAGTTATGATTTGTAGGAATATTTCCTCTCATTTATACTTAAGAATTTCTTAGGGTAAGGTAATTTTGCTATTTTGAACTTTAGATTTTTCACTTTTGTAAGAATTCCTAAAGGTTGATACCTACAAATTAGTCTATTGTTGATTTTCCCCCTAAAATTAAAGCATGCTTTTTACAACTGTATATTCTTTTTTCCCTTCCCAACTAAATTCTTAAGGAACTTCTATTTCTAAACTGAAATATTTTCCACACTTTTGTCACAGTTGTACCTTCTGTTCATACTATGGCTTAAATAATGCTTCCTTGGGCACAGCACTAGTATGTAGCAGTCTGGGGGGCTTCAGAAATGTCACACTCATCACTGAAAGGCTGGTGTATTATTCTGGGACAGCCCTGGAGGTCCGTGTGGGTGAAAAGCCCAGAAGCCAGCCCAAGCTGAAAGCACTTCCAAGGAGTTTGGTTTTGTTTGGGTTTGTTCTAGGTATGGTCCCAGGGATCCCAGATCAAACCAGGCCCCTGGGCCTATCCTAGAACCAACCTAAACTCTCGCATCATTCCTGGAACATCAAGAGTAAGAAGATGAAGATAACCTGAGCCTGGCCATACATCCTGTGTTCACCAAGATTAATGTCTTTCTTATGTGGGCCTATCTAATAGCAACAAATAGTTGGTTAGTCCTTTTGAAATTAGAGGAATAGCATTAGATAACAATACTGTCTTCTCAGACTGGCATTACGAACAAAAATTCTGTGTGGTAATTATTAATCGCCAGTGAAGAGGGTTCTTTCTTGTGATTTTATTGCCAAATAACATAGATGACAAGGTCTATTTTAAGTAAAAACCACAAAAATAAGTCAACCCTATCTCAAAATAACCCTCTTCCAAAAGTAATGTTTCTTTTTTATTATTATGATTATTTTTTCAACTTATATATATTATTGTTGTTATAAAGGTGATGTACAGATGGTTATAGTTATATAACTCAGGTAAAGAGTACATTTTATTGTGGACAATGTCACCTCTTCCCTCGAGTTTATTTTCTTAAATACTTTTACTCAACAGCATTGCCACAGTCTTAGTTAACTGAAAGATTATGCAGTTTGGGGCTGGGAAGTTGGCTCAGTGGTAGAGCGCTTGCCTTGCATGCCTGAGGCCCTGGGTTTGATTCCTCAGCACCACATAAGCAAAGAAAAAAAAAAAAAAAGCTGGAAGTGGCGCTGTGGCTCAAGTGGTAGAACACTAGCCTTGAGCTGAAGAGCTGAGGGACAGCACCCAGGCCCAGAGTTCAGGCCCCACGACCGGACCCCAAAAAAAGATTATGCAGTTTGTGAAGATCATTTTGTATTTGCCCTCTTGTTCCAGTTTTAAGTGATTTTATTTTAACCTCTTGTTTCTGAAAATAGTTTTTTTTTCGTTTAACATTACTGAGTCTGCAACATTTCTGAGCTCACTTTTAGGAATTCATTAGCATGAAACAAACTCGTGTGATAATAGTGGAAATAGGCTAAGACCTTACATTTTCCATCATATTTTGGAGATTTCTAATAAATTTTTATTTTTGTTCCTTGTTCCAGATTTTAAATATTATGATATAATAACTTCATCATATATACTCATACCATAACTCAATTGCTACAATCACCTGCAAAAAATTTGGGTTACTTGTTTATTTTAGAAAATAGCATTTCTAAAATAATATGAACAGACCCCAAACTAAAAGCTGTGGTGCACAATGGAAATGCATGCTGCTAATGCTTCAGCAGTTTAGAGCAGAACTGCACATCTGAGAAAAACCCAAAATGTGCACTTGCACCACGCTTTCATCACACTAGCAAAATTAAATTGGTGGTCGTCCTTTAAGATAGGTCTGGGAGCCATTGAGACTCATTTAAAATACTGCACTATGGAATTGATCCATATTCATCCCATAGATGCTCATTCCAAAGATTCCATTCTGGTGTTTCTACTTCTCTGTTTTCTTTTCTGCAGTGCTCATCTGGAAGCATAGTTCACTATATTGACATAATCTGAAACGAATATGACTCCATCTTGGGTTTTTATTTGGTAGGACCTTGAAGACTTAAGACTATAATTATTGAGAAGGAGGAGGCAAGGAACTGTTTTTAATTGGAATAAAAAGGTCATGACATAGATTTTAACAAAGCAACTATTTTTTTTTTTTTTGCCTGTCATGGGGCCTGAACTCTGGGTCTGGGCACTGTCCCTCAGCTCTTCAGCTCAAGGCTAGTGCTCTACCACTGGAGCCACAGCACCACTTCCGGCTTTTTCTGTTTATGTGGTGCTGAGGAATCGAACCCAGGGCCTCATGCTTGCAAGGCATGCACTCTACCGCTGAGCTACCTTCCCAGCCCCCAAAGCAACTATTTTTAAGAATATAGTTGACCCATGGTTTCCCTTATTTGCAATAACTAGTATATGTCTGAGTCAAGCAGAAAAGGTCAGTTAAGTTGATGTTAGGGAAATGAACCCTAAGATATGTATTCAAATGTTTTTTTTTTCTTTCATGTGATTGTTTCTAACACATTTATAAGATTATTTCTTTGTTGCTTTGTATGTCCCTCCCCCACGGTATAACCCCTGCTTTCACTGTATTTGATGTTGTTATAATTTGTGGAGGGGAAGGGAAAAAACAAATCGTTTAAATAGGGATACAGGTGGACCCATTGCAACAATGAGACGTACAAGTCGTTATGTCGAAAACGAACTTTACAACTTTGGTGGTGGGGGGAGGATGGTTGGGTTGGGGGACGGGGGTGGATGGGATGGGAAGGGGAAACAAAGGAGGAGGCTACAACGCTTGATAAGAAATGTACTCATTATCTTGCCCATGTAATTGTAACCCCTCTGTACAGTATTTTCACAATAAAAAAATTTAAAAAAGAATATAGTTGAGAAAGTTAAGTGTATTCACACTGTAGTGAAATGATTCTCCAGGACTTTATCTTGAAAATCTGAAACTCTTACACAGTAAGTAGCAACTCCCCTTTTTACTTCTCTACTGCTCCTGTTGACCACTATTCTACTTCTTGTTATATCTTAATGTTCTCCATATTGTAGTATATGAGATGATTTCTTTTTATAAGGCTGTATAATCTACATATTTGCCACATTTCATTGATCTATTCATCTGCTGATGAACATTTGGGTTGCTTCTCCTTCTGAGTTATTAGGAATGATGCAGCTATGGATTGTTGTGAAAATATCTTTTTATAAGCATAGTCCTTTATTAATCAAAGCATATTTTATCACATCAGTTTTTGTTAACTTCATTATTAAAGAATTTTATAAGAACCCAACTGTAGGTTTGTATATTCCTGTATTATTGTTCATCCTAAACTTAAAACATCTTTAATAAAATCTGTGCTGCTATACATTCCTCTTTTTGTGTACCTTTTTTATTCTGCTGTTTACAACATGGATTAAGAGAAAAAAGAAGACCTTTCTGTCTCTTTATTACATTATTGTATTTTTCAGCATCTAATATACAAAAAAAAAGATGGTGGTTGTTTTGATTCATTAGCACAACTTTTATTTCTGACATACTTCACATGTTAATTTAGTAGTGTGAAAACAGCCATTTAAATTAAAAGTTCTAATTTCACCATTCTCATTGGTGACATTAGGTTGTATTTGTGGACTGTTATTACCTTCCTGTCAAAAAAGACATCTTGACATCAACATAAAAGTTAACATCCAAGACTCATACTTTAACATTAGTTAAACTGGTTTATTCACAGAACACTCCTGAAAGTTCTAGAATGGCTTTGTAGACTAAATGCCCCTTAAAAAGGGAAAGTGGAGCCAGGCACCAATGAGTTCACGCCTGTAATTCTAGCTACTTAGGAGACTGAGATCTGAAGATCATGGTTCAAAGCCAGCCCAGACAGGAATGTCTATGAGACTCTTATCTCCAATGAACCACCAAAAAACCAGAAATGGCACTGTAGCTCAAGTGGTAGAATGCTTGCCTTGAGCTGAAGAGCTCAGGGACGGTGCCCAGAGTTCAAGACCCACGACTGACAGAGAGAGAAAATGGCTGACCTTCTCTGAAGTGATCTTTTTAACAAATAAGCCCCTTTCTCCCTTTCCAGGGAAGATTTTACACAAGGAATAAATTCCTATAAAGGCACATTTTGAAGCTTGCCTCTTTGTCTGAGATATGCTAGTTTAAAAAGTGAAAATCTAGATACCAGGAGGCTGAGGTCCAGAGGGTATCCCATCCTGGGCACAAAAGTCCAAGAGATTCGGTCTCAAAAATAGTGAGATCTTTACTAGCTATGCATCAGACAAGGGCCTCATATCTAAAATACATTTAGAGCTCGAAAAATTAAATCCTCAAAAATCCTTTAAGAAACAACTCCATTAATAAATGGGCTAACAACCTAAAAAGAGACTTCTCAGAAGATGAAGTAAAAATGGCCTCTAGATACTTTATAGAAGATGTTCAAAATCTCTGGCCATAAAAGAAATGCAAATCAAAACAACATTGAGATTGTTCTTCACCCCAGTTAGAATGGCCATTGTCAAACAAAAACTACCAATAACAGATGCTGGTGGTAAGGAAATACTACTACTTCTGTTGGTGGAAATGTAAACTTGTGCAACCACTCTGGAAAGCAGTATGGAGGTTCCTCAACTAAACAAAGCTTCCCCATGACCCAGCAATCCTACTCCTGGGCATTTATTCAACTGACCACAAACCAGCCCACACTAAAGCTACCAGCACAACCATGTTTATTGCAACATTATTTACCATGGCCAAGATAAGTAATCAGCACAGATATCCCTCAGTGGATGAAGAGATCAAGGAAATGTGGCATATATATATACGTATATATATATATATATATATATATATATACGTATATATATATACATATATATATGTATATATATATATGTATATATATATATATGTATATATATATAATGGAATCCTGTGCTTCCATCAGAAAGAATGCCATTGCCCATTCATAAGGAAATAGACTTGGGAAAAATACATTAAATAGGCATGTTTTCCCTCATTTGTAATCATTAGAATGTGCCTATAAATCCACAAGTAAACCCAGTGGATAGTAAAAGACAAAAAAATAAAAAAATCACACTTGGACATGATAAATGGGACTCGAAACATTCACACAGTGAGAACAAAGATATTCTTAGGATCACAAGGGCTCAGTAGCTATGTGCATATGACCATATAAAATGATGGTTATTGAAATACACTCCAAGGAAATAGAAAGGATTTTTTTTTTACTTTTGTGGTTCATTTTCATTTTCTGTCCTTCCCCTTTTGTCACTGTTTTTTTATTTCTGTATCTTTTGTCTTATGTGTAAGTTTATCTGATTTGGGGAGGGTAAGGGGAAGCACAGAAATGGTAGGACAAAGGGTGAAAAATGCACCAGTGATACTAGACACTGTGTTGGAAATGAACTTGGGGAGAAGGGAGAAAACTGGGAGAAAATGAGGGGGTGACACTTCAAAAAGAAATGTACTCAATGCCTGACTTATGTAATTATATAACCCCTCTGTACATCACCTTTACAATATTTTTTTGTGTGGGTCGTGGGGCTTGAACTCTGGGCTTGGGCGCTGTCCATGCACTCTTCAGCTCAAGGCGAGCGCTCTACCGCTTGAGCCACAGCACCACTTCAGTTTTCTAGTGGTTTATTGGAGATAAGATCTCACAGTTTCCTGCCCGGGCTGGCTTCGAACCATGACCCTCAGATCTCAGCCTCCTGAGTAGCTAGGATTACAGGCATGAGCCACTGGCACCCAGCTTACAATACATTTTTAAATGACTTAAAAGCTGTACTGAAGGTGTGGTTCAAGTGGTAGAGCACCAGTGCAGCAAGCAAGCCAAATGAATGCAAGGAATTGAGTTCAAATCCTTGTACTACCACAAAAAAGGGGAAGGAAAAGAAAAGATGAATGTAATTATTACTTACCCAATCCTATAGTCTTTAGGAAGAAAATATCCCATACGGTAATCATTCTTTGTCTTCACGATTTGTTTTTGAAGGTCTTTAGCAGATGTGCTATATCCATTGAAAATAAAGTTGGCAAATACTAATTTTCCCTGAATGTACATCTGTAAAAAGTTAAGAAAACATTTTCAGAATTTGATCATAAAAGAGTAATCTTATTTGAAGAAAGATCTTCAGCCTCACTCTTCTCATTGTTGGCAATTAGAATGTAGGAATGTTGGAAAAGCTATTGAATTTTGTGGGTTAATTTTATACTCTGCTTCTTTGCCAAAGTTTCGGGCTAGCTCAAGTAACTTGGGTTCTTTAAATACAGGATCATGTCATCTGCAAAGAAGTAGAGTTTTACTTCTTTCCCTATTTGGATCCCCTTTATGTTTGTCTCTTGCCGTATTGCTTTAGCTAGAAATTCCAATATTGAGGAGTGGTGAGAGCAGACATCCTTGTCTTGTTCCCAATTTTTAGAGGAAATGGTCTTAACTTTTCACCATTAAGTATAATGTATAAGGTTTGTATAAGGCTTATTATATACAGTCTTTATTATATTGAGGAAATTCCATGGACTCCTAACTTCTCCAGAGCTTTTTATCATAAAGCAGTGTTGGATCTTGTCAAATGCTTTTTCTGCATCTATTGATATGATCATATGGTTCTTGTCCTTGCTCCTGTTGATGTGTTGAATTACATTAATTGACTTTCATATATTGAACCCTGGAATTAATCTCATTTGATCATAGTGTATGATTTTTTGATTAGTTGTTGAAGTCGGTTGGCCAGAATTTTATTAATAAGTTTTACATCAATGTTCATCAAAGAGATGGGTCTATAGTTCTCTTTCTTTTTTAACGAGGGGACTATTTCTTTATTTGCCACTTTTAAAATATAACAGTCAAATAAAAATCTAGTAGGTATGAAAAGCTAAGACATGAACTTTGAAGAAATGTAAGAGGCAGTCTTACATCGAAAATATAAGGTTTTGAGATGAGGGTTATGCTGGCTTCATAGAATGAATTTGGTGGTTATCTTTGCTTTTTATTGAAGAGTTTGAGTGAGTCCTCCTTTGAAGGCCTTATAGAATTCAGCTGTGAATCCATCTGATCCTAGGATATTCTTGGATGGGAGACCTTTTATTGCCATTTCTATTTTGTTACTTGTCATGGATCTATTTCATTGGTTTAATCTTCTTGGTTTGGGTGTATCAGTATTTGCTAGTAAATCTTCCAGTTCTTGCTGATTCTCCAATTTGTTAGCATAAAGGTTTGCAAAATATTCCCTTATAATGTTCTGAATATTGTTTGTCTCTATCATGATGGTCGTCTCTAATTTTATTTGGGTGTGTTTGTAATAGCCTCAAAAAAAAAAAGAAGGAATTAATTTAACCAAAGGTGTGAGGGACCTCTTTGATGAAAACTTTAAAAACCTGAAGAAGGAAATTAAAGTAGAAAACCTCCCACGCTCCTGGATTGGAAGGATTAATATCATGAAAATGGTGTTACTAAAAATGGCAATACTGTCCAAAGCAATCTATGAATTCAATGCAATACTCATTAAAATCCCAACAAAATTCTTCAATTATACAGAAGAAGCAATCCAAAAATGTGTATGGAATACTAGAAGACCCTGAATAGCAAAAACAATCCTTAGCAGGAATGTCAATACCAGACTTGAAACTCTATTACAAAGCTGTAGTTGTTTTTTGTTTTTTGCCAGTCCTGGGATTTGAACTCAGGCACTGTCTCTGAGCTTCTTTTTGTTCAAGGCTAGCACTCTAGCAATTGAGCCACAGCACCACTTCTGGCTTTTTCTGCTTATATAGAACTGAGGAATCAAGACAAGGGCTTCATGCATGCTAGGGAAGCACTTTACCACTAAGCTACATCCCCAGACCACAAAGCTATAGTTATAAAAACAACTTAGTACTGGCGCATGAACAGGCCTGAAGACCAATGGAATAGAATCAAAGACCCAGAAATGAACCAACAGACCTATAGCCACCTAATAGCCAAAAACACAGCATCTTCAACAAATGGTGCTGGCAAAATTGGCTATACAAGTGCAGAAAACTGAAGTTAGATCCTTGTATCTCACCCTGCACCAGAATAAATTCCAAATGGATCAAAGACCTCAGTGTAATACCAGATACCTTGAAAATATTATAGGAAGGGATAGGGGAAACACTAGGACTCCTTGGCATGGGTCAAAACCTCCTAAGATCCAGAAACAACAAATCAAAGAAAGTCTGGATAAATGGGACTGCATAAAATTGAAGAATTTCTGTATGGCAAAAAAACATAGTAAGATAAATAGGAAGCCCACAGAACAGAAGATCTTTACTAGTTATGCATCAGACAAGGGCCTCATATCTAAAATATACTTAAAGTTCAAAAAATTAAACCCCCAAAATCAAATCCTCTAAGAAACAGCAACCCCATTAATAAATAAGCTAAAGACTTAAAGAGAGACTTCTCCAAAGAAGAAATAAGAATGGCCAATAGACACATGCAGAGATGTTCAACATCTCTGGCCATAAAAGAAATGCAAATAAAAACAACACTGAGATTCCACTCACCCCAGTTAGAATGGCCATTATCAAGAAAACTAATAACAGATGCTGGCCAAAAGGGAACACTACGTTGGTGGGAATGTAAACTTGTTCAACAACTCTGGAAAGCAGTATGGATATTCCTCAAAAAACTCCTCACAGAGCTTCTGCATGACCCAGCAATCCTCCTTCTGGGCATTTATCCAAATGATCACAAACCAGCCCACACTAATGACATCAGCACAACCATGTTCACTGCAGTATTATTTACCATAACTAAGATATGGAATCAACCCAGAAGTCCCTCATTGGATGAATGGATCAAAAGATGTGATATATGTACACAATGGAATTTATGCTCCCATCAGAAAGAATGACAGTGTCCATTCATAAGGATATGGAAATACTTGGAAAAAATTACATTAAGTGGAGTAAGCTAGACCCAAAGATACATATGCTGCATGGTTTCCCTCATTTGTAATAACTGGAATATGTCTATAAATATACACGTTAATCCAATGGATAGTGAAAGGCAAATAATTACACTCAGATATGATTAATTAAACAGCACTCTAAGCATTTTCACACTGAGAACAAAGGAGGATATTCTTAGGGAGGATCACCATGGCTCAATAACTATGTGCATATGACCATATAAGACGACACTTATCAAAATGAACTCCAAGAAATGGGAACAAGAGGTTTTTTTTTTTTTTCTGGGGGGGGGGGGGTCCCGTCGTGGGGCCTGAACTTTGGGCCTGGGCGCTGTCCCTCAACTCTTCAGCTCAAGGCTAGCGCTCTACCACTTGAGCCATCTTCCCAGCCCCAAGAGGTTTTTGTTTTTTTTATTGTACTGTTTGTGGTTATTTTTCTTTCTTTGGTCTCCTTATATTTATTCTCTGTTGTCATTGGTTTCTTATGTTTGTTTGTTTTTGTTTTGGGGGGTTGTAGGTTTTTTTTTTTTTTTGTCAATCATGGGGTTTGAACTCTGGGCCTGGGTACTGTCCCTTAGCTCTTCAGCTCAAGGCAAGTGCTCCACTACCTGAGCCACAGCACCACTTCTGATTTTCTGGTGTCTAATTAGAGATAAGAGTCTTATAGAGACTTTCCTGCCCGGGCTGGCTTTGAACCGTGATCCTCAGCCTCCTGAGTAGCTAGGATTACAGGCGTGAACCACCAACTCTTAGCTTTTTAAAAAATTTCTGTACCTTTTGTCTTGTATATAAGTTTAGAAACAGTGGGACAAAGGTTGAACCAATTCAACAGTGATACTCACTAGACATTAGGTTAGAAATGAGCTTTACCACTTGGAGGATGGGGAATCAGGAGGGGAAAAAGTGGGAGAAAACAAGGGAGAAGATAACACTGTTCAAAAAGAAATGTATTCATTACCTTATGTAACTGTAACCCCTCTGTACATCACCTTTACAATAAAATTTAAATTTAAAAAATAAAGATCTTCAACTGTGTCACTACAAAATATTAGGCGTATACACATAAGGTAGTCATCATACATATTCCAAGGAACTGAATATATCATTTGAAGATAAGAAAATAGAACAAATGGCAGAACAAATACCTTAATTAAGTCTAAAATTACCAACAGCCATTCTTAATCATTCTGTTTAACTGCCTGTGTACACATTTCATGTTATAGTTAATTTCTAAGAGATAATAGAGTGCCCTTGAATTTGGGAGTCAGTAGACTTGAATTCTGGACAAAACTAGTCTAAAACTCAGAAATATCATTTAATCATACTGAGCCACAGTTTCCTCCATCAAAACAAAACACAAGTAGGATTTATTACTTATAGTTCCAAAAGCCTCTTCTCTTAAATTCTGCTTTCTCTGTTCTTTGTAAAGCCAGGTTTCTCATTCTGTGAAAGAAAGGGTTTATTTTATAGAGCTCGTGGCAAACAACTGGAAGATATTCAACCGTTAGAGGTTGGGAAGAAAGGATAAGAAAAGGTAGCAAGGGAAAGCAGCTGATTGTAGTTCTGAATTTATATTGTTAAAAATGATCTACCTGCCAGATGCCGGTGGTTCATCCCTGTAATCTTAGCTACTCAGGAGGCTAAAATCTGAGGATCATGGTTCAAAACCAGCCCAGGCAAGAAAGTCCATGAGACTCTCATCTCCAATAAACCACCAGAAAACCAGAAGTGCTGTGGTTCAAGTAGTAGAGCACTTACCTTGAGGTTAAGAGCTGAGGGACAGTGCCCAGGCCCAGAGTTCAAGACCCACAACTGACCAAAAAAAAAAAAAATCTACCTGGTACCAGTGACTAATCCCAGCTACTCAGGAGGCTGAAATCTGAGGATTGCAGTCTGAAGGCACACCAGGCTAGAAAGCCAGTGAGATTCTTATCTCCAATTAACCACCAAAAATCTGGATGCGGAGATGTGGCTCAGGTGGTAGAATGCAATCCTTGGGTAAAAAAAAAAATAAAAAGAAAAAAAAACAAAAAACAAAACAAAAAAAAAAACCTCAGGGACAGTGCCCAGGTCCTGAGTTCAAAAAGAACGATCTACTTCTCTTCAAGGAATAAATCCTCGAAGTACCAGA